CACTGCTTTCTTCCTCTCTGTGAATGACAGAGCCAGGACGTGGCCCTCAGAGGAAGATGGCAAGCCGTGGATAAGCATGGACAGCACCTGGCACAGCCCCTGGGACAGCTGGTGCCCAGGAAGTGCTGGGTGGCACCAAAGCATTCAAGAGTGTCAAGGAGCATTCCTAGAGCAGGGGTCAGCATGCAACGGCCCACAGGCTAAGAATGACGTTTACATTTTTAAGTTGCTGAAAGAATGAAAGAAGGCTGTTTCACGACATGTGAAACTACACGAACTTCCAACTTCAGTGTTCATCGATCAAGTTTTATTGGCACACGGCCACTCTGTCCCTTTCCACATTGCCCGTGGTAGTTTTTGCTCTGCAGCAACAGAGACCACATGGTCAGCAAAGGCAGAAATACCTCCTAGCCGCTGCTCTGTGGAGAAAGCTTGCTGGTTTCTGGCACAGACCCTGGAGCCAAATTATCTATCTTGAAATCCTAGATCCACTACTCATGAGCCACTTAACTTTAGCAAGCTATTTCCTCTCTGCCTGCCTCCATTTCCACATCTCTAAAGGGGGTACAATAGTCCTTATTTTGAGATATTTTTGTGAGAAGTATAAGAATTATCATTTTTAAGCTCTTAAAAGAAGAGTGCCTGGCACACCAAAGTACTATAGTTGGTGTGTTAGTCAGCTTTCTGTTACTATAATAAAATGCCCAAGAGGGTTAACCTATGAACAAAAAAGGTTTATTTTGGTTCATGGTTTTAAGGGTTCCAGTGCATGATCAGGCAGACCTTTTGCTTTTAGGCCTCTGGTGGGGGACAGCACATTGTGGAAGGATGTGTGGCAGAGCACATCTGCTCACTGCATGGCCAGGAGCCAATGAGAGTGAGGAGGGGCTATGGTCCCACAAGGGCACGCCCCAGTGACCAAAGACCTCCTGCCGGGCCCTCCCTGGTCCATCACCTCCCAAGAGCACCAACCTTCAACACAGGGCCCTTTGGGAGATCCCACCTGTCACCAATGGGTTACATGATTTGGGGGGCCATTGTTCTAATCCTTGGTCTCCCTAAATCCTTCAACTTCGTTGTCCTTGTTCCCTGGTATGAACGATGTGAAAATCGCCAAGGGCTCTTTCTGGCGGACACACGGAGCAGCCCCTTCAGACTGACGTGTCATTTCCTTAACTTTTCATTGCTGTTCCATATGCCAACGGATCCAGGAAGCTGCAGCTCAGGCCTCTCAAAGCCCAGATGGGCCCTGATTTGTTATGTTGGAGGAGAAAAAAATCTGTGTTCCCTGGCAGATGCGCTGGGACTGTTTTGTTAGTCACATCTACCACCTTCTTGCTTTTCAGCATTAAGAGAACTTTTTCTGCAAACTCTCTGGATCTCGATTATGAAACACAAAGCAGGACGCTGAGGCAGGAATTTCCCACCTGGCCCAAGGCTCCACCTGACTGTCAGGGCCTGGGCTCTGCAGGGAGTAGAGTTCCCTGCTGCAGGGAGGAGCCTGGTGGGGCTGGAACAGTGTCCCCCAGTGTCGCTCACTTACTCCAGGGTATAAGCCAAAGCTGTGCACATGGCTGCCCCAGGGCAGACTCCATTTCCCATCCTGCTCTGGGGCACAGCATGGTCACATGGCTAAGCGCAGTCCACACTGCCTCCTGCTGGACTGAGTGGAGGCCCTAGGGACCACTTTTTTTTTTTTGGTACCAGGGATTGAACTCGGATCCTTGCATCCTTGGGCAGCGGAACCACTGAGCTAAATCCCCGACCCCCTTTTTTTTTCAGTAGTAGAAATTAAACCCTGGGCCTCCTCACTGAGATACATTCCCAGTCTTTTTTATTTTTTTATTTTGAGACAGGGTCTTGTTAAGACACTAAGTTACACAGGTTGGGCTTGAACTTGTAATCCTCCTGCCTCAGCCTCCCAGAGTGCAGGCACCACTTCTAAATCCGGGTCTTATGACATCGAGCTCTTTATCTTCCCATGAACTGCAATCGTACACAGGAGAGTGACTGCATAGAATCATCACACACACACACACACACATACACACACACACACACACACACACACACACACACACGCCCCAAATCAAGGTTCAAACTCTGCCAGCTCCTCTTCCGTTACAGGGGGAGCCAGTTTGGCACTGTCTCTTGTAGGAGCCGCTCTTGCTACGCAGTACCCTTGGGACTCTGCCCCGCCCCACCAACAAGCTGTCCTCAGACTCCAGAGCCACGCGAACGTGTCCTCTGCTCCTCACAAATAGCCTGGCCTGCGGTGTTCCGTTGCAGCGGCAGAAACGGGCTGAGTCACAGCCGCACTTGGGCAAGCGGTCACCCATGCTGCCTGCCTGCGTCCCCAGCAGGTGGCCACTGTCCTATATACTTGGGTTGAAAACCGGAAGGGACCCCACCCCCATGTCTACCCCCAGCCACCTCCCTCAGGACCATTTATTTGGAGTGGGGCTCCCTGAGGTCTGGAGTCAGGGTGTTCATGACACCCTCTCCCTCCAGGATGACCTTGGACTAGGAGCGGGGCCTCACCCAGAAAACACTGGTAGTGATGGAAGCTGCTTCCCGTGACAGTGCGGCTGCCACACTCCCTCTGCACAGGATCCAGCTAGGAAAACACGCGTCCATCTGAGCCGAGATGGTGTCCCCACCTCATGTCCCTGCAGCCCCCCAGGCCCCATGGGAAGGCCTTTGCCGCGTGTCCACGCCTCTGTGTCAGAGCTGAGCGCAGGGTCGGTGGGGTGCAGTGGGGTGGCAGCTAAGTGGGACGTGGCCCAGAAGGGTACATTCTCCCTTTGGGTTGCCTGGCTCCGACCCAGCATGGGAAAGGGGGATGCCTGCCCCGCTGTGGGTCACACCGGTGTCCACGTGGCCTCTGGGACGTCCCTCAACACCCCGGAAGGGCTGCACACCAGCTCGTCAGCACCCACTCAGTCTGTCACCTGCCGGGTCTTCTGACCTCACGGAAAGCCAGTGGCAGGGGAAATGTGCCAGATGCTGGAAACGCAGGTGGAGTGGAAAGAGCAGAGAGGGACAGGCCAAGTGGGTGGTGGGCCTGGACCCTGGGCAGGAGGAAATGTGTGCCCTCAGCATCCCCTAGAAAGGGGGTTCATTCTCCTGCCCACCTTGGGATGGTCTGAGGAGGACCCACTTCAGCTTTCCTGTGCTGGACACAGCACCCGACCCCCACAGCCCGGGCCGTCTGTGGCTGGCGGACTTCAAGGCAGGAGCACCAAGGGTGTGGTGGAGCAAGGCTGCTTAGCCCATGGCGGCCGGAGAGCAGAGCAGACAACAGCAGAGAGGAGGGGGTGAGGGAGCAGCGACCCCAAGGCCCAGCCAACACTCCCAGCAGTGCGTGCCACCTGTCCCCAGAGCAGACCTCGGCCAGCCAAGCTGCCCTCCACTGAACCACACGACAGTCAGGGGTCGACTCCAGAGGCAGAGAAGCATGGAGGAGGGGCTTTCCTTCGGAATTCACCCCATCTCCCCACACTAAGACAAACAGCCTCAGGCAGACAGGGCAAGCGTTTCAAGGACCTTTGGAAATGTTTTTTTTGTTGTTTTTGGTACCAGGGATTGAACTCAGGACCTTGGACTTGTGAGGCAGGTGCCAGAACCACTGAGCTACATCCCTGGCCCTGGCAATGTTTGACTAGAAAGAAATTATTGGCTGCAAATTACAGAAGGAGCAAAGTCAGACTTTCTCCATGATTAATTTATATATTCATTCTTCATTAATTGCTAAATTGAATGTTCATTTAAAAATCTCACGACGTCTGAGACTCATTTGTGAGTGAGATTTTCCTCACACTGCAAGGACTCCTCAGTATGCTGGTGATGGCCAAGGAATAACAGCTAGGCAGGAGTTAATGGGTTACCTGCAGCTCGGTCATTTCAAAATCAAAATCACCAGCCTTGCCCAGCCGCCCGACAGCTCCCTCTGGCCCAGTGCTCACCTGTTTCTGGAGTCACCCTGGCTAAGCCTTCCTAATGTACAGTAAACATCAGGATTAAAAAAACAAAAATACTTTCTCTACAGATGAACAAGGTAGAAGCTAACACAGAGTTAAGTTAAAACTGAGCGACTTGTGGGCAGCCCTCTCCTGTGTATTTCAGTGGGACACACCTCCCCTTACCATAACACAAGCTCTCCGGGGGCGATTTGCACCTTCTGGTTTTTCCAACCCTGCAATTACGGAATATTAAGCAGATATTTTTAAAATTCCGTTTTTGTTGCTATAACAAAATACCCAAGGCTGAAGAGCTTTATAAAGAAAAGAGGTTTGTTTAGCCCACAGTTGCTGAGGGGCAGGGTCATGATGCCTGCACTAGCTCGGCCTGCAGTGAGGCCGTAGAAAGACATTGTGTCACCGGACAGGAAGCCAGACACTGGGTCAGGCTTGCTCGCGTGCAGCCCATGCTGGTTAGGATTCCCCAGGCCCTCCCCGAGCAGCGTCGCCATGACCGACACTGCCCATCAGAGCTCACAGGTCCCATCCCCTGGTATCTCAGCACCAGGGGCCAAGCTTCCCACACCAACCGCGTTCACGCCCGCGCACGGTCTTCCTGCAGACGGCAGGGTTTCTAATCTCTAATGCTTGGCTCATTGCCGTCATGTGTATTTTTTAAGTGACTAACAGGAAATCACCTTTGCCTCCCCGGGTGCAACAGCCAGATGGGGTCATCTGGCTCTTCATGGGGTCCTGGATGTGAGGTCCTCACCAGGGCCCCTGGGACCCCATTCCGGTCCTCCTGGACCCTGGGAGCCTCGCTGCAGCAAGGCGGGCTCACGGCCATCCCCGCAGCGCCCCCTCCCCACCAGCCCTGGCCTTAAAACCGCCCTTCCCCCAGTCACCGCACGGGCACCTGCCCGCGTCCAGGCTCCGGGCCAGGGTCACCTCCACCAGGCAGGGTGGACGCAGGCCTCACCTGGGCCCCTGGCCACGCTGGCTGCAGCTCATCTCCACCATGAGAAAAACTCCAGCCACCCATGGAAGTGTCAGTGACAAGTTGTATTTGGTGCCCGGGTTGACAAAAGCACTATAGTGACCTGAAAATGCCGCCTCCATCCATGGCCTCCACCTCTAGGGCTTCCTCTTCAGGGTTTCAGAGTGCTTCTCTGTCAGACGAAGAAATCTGATAGTCCTATCATGCCGTTCTTCCTAGAGCCGACAAACGGGAAACGGACAAGGGCACTGTTAGTGATTTCCCGTGGAGCAGTCAATACAATTTCTATAAAACGTAAAAAGTGCCATGGATGGTCCCTCTCCACTCATTCTGCCACCAGAAATAAAGAACTCCAGCTGGGTGGGCGTGGTGGTACACACTCGTAATGCCAGCACTCGGGAGGCTGAGGCAGGAAGATTGTTGAGTTCAAGGCCAGCCTGGGCTACTTAATGAGACCCTGTCTCAAAAGAGAAAGGAAGGAAGAAGGGAGCAGGGAGAGAGCTGCTGAGGGCCCCTGCTCCGCACAGCCCGAGACAGCACCAAGCTGCGACGGGCCGTGTCCCGCATCACCACCGAGGAGATGCTGAGGGGCCGTGCTTGGGCCGCCCCTGACCACGCATGCCAGCTTCCCTGGGGTCACTCTCTCCTTCAAGCAGTGACCTTGAGGAATAACCAGGGGAGAAATGGGGTCCCCCAAAGGGCCATCCCACCCCTGCAGTCCAGGAGACACAGCGAGCATTGAACGGGAGCACGGAGCACGGACCCAGGAGCGGCTACCAGGGCGGCAGCTGAGGCAACTTCCGGGGAACAAGGACAGGAGATCGAGGGTGAATCCGAGCATGACCAGGAGAGTCTGAGGATCTGCAGGGACCCTTTATATCCAATCCCAGCACAATGCGAAAATGAGACGTGCAAGGAAGGCCGAAAACCATGGTGAGTCTTTAAAAAAAAAAGAATCATTGGGCTGGGGATTTAGCTCAGTGGTTCTGCCACCTGCCTCGCAAGCACGAGGTCCCGAGTTTGATCTCTGGTACCAAAAAAAAAAAGAATCATGGCAGTAAAAGGCCTGCCCGCCATGAATCCCCCTCATATCCAACATTCTTGCTGCTTTCCGCAGCAGCTCTGCAGTCCTCTTTCCTGATTGTCTTTGGTTGGGCTCTCAGGGCTGCTGCAGTGTCCTGAATCAACTCGAAGTGCTTCCCTTCAGGGTCATTTTGACTCCGGGGAAGAGTCAGAAGTCAGCGCCAAATGCGGGGAATGAGGTGGAGGAGGATGCACCGTTGTGGTTTGCAAGCTGCCTTTCTGTTGGACGGCAGCAGCATTCACTGTACTTTTTATCACACCTTGTGAAGACACTCAGGAAAGAGGACTTCCAGGACTGCTTCAGAAAGTGGCTAGAACAACAGGATAAGTGCATTCAAAGAGAGCAGACGGATTTTGAGGGGATTCATGGCAATGTGTCTTTCTAATTTTAAAATTTAAACAGAGTTTCTGATCCCCCTTGTGGAACATGTCATATGACAAGTTCATCAAATCAAGACGTGCGCTAAGTGATGTCGACAACATGCTGGGATTTCTACAGGTAACAGGCTCTGGGGTACTGTGGTCCGCAGCACAGTGATAATCCCCTGCTTCACCGCGTGAAGTGAACCCTGTCTACCTCACCCTAACTTGGCGTCATTTTAAAGCACCTGATCTGGTGTACGTAAGAACCCAGGTTTCCTAGTGACAGGATTCATGCTCTCCTGAGCCCGAGTCCTGCCTGCTGACGTGCGGTGAGGACAGACCCCAGCCCCGTGGCCCACACTGCTGCGCTCAGAGCCGTGCTGGAAGCCGACGTGGGCATCTTCCCCTTCGGGGGATGAGGGCCCTCAGGAGAGCTGGGGGAGCCCCACTTACACGCTCTCCTGCAGCGCGGCCAGGTACGACTCCGTGTCCAGTGCCGAGACGTCCGAGTCCAGCCTGGACAGGTAGCGGTACACGTAGGAGAAGGTGTCGAATGGGATGCGGGCCTGGCCGCCCTCGGGGTCTGGGGTGAGGATCTCGCAGAAGTGCTTCATAGCTGAGTTCAGGGACTGGAAACAACAGGGAGGGGACAGTCACTCGGGGTCCCTGGGTGTCAGAGCCGACGCTGGGACGGCCTGGCATGCTCCGTGTGCAGTCCCGCCCTGAGAGACAGAAAGCTCTGACGGGTGCATAGGGCCTGGGGTCAGCGTGGCTCACAGGCTCTGCTCTCCATCGATAACGGAACAACTGTCACAGAACAGACAGGACAGCGTCAGAGCCCTCGATGAGGACCAGGGCACAGGGTTCAGCAGGAGACCGAACAGGACCTGCCCTGCTAGGCAAGTGCCCTGCACCGAGCTGCACCCCAGCCCTCTGACGATGCTCTTCCTTTTTTAATGGTACTGGGAATCGAACTCAGGACCTTGCACTTGTGAGGCAGGCAGGCTCGGCACCACTGAGCAACATCCTGGCCTTTCTGTAATTGTGTCAGTTTTTATTTGCATTGGTCTCCGTCTGCAGGACGCGATGATCTTGTTCCACGTCCATAACATGTTGTCTTCACTCTCTTTACGTCCCCTGCCCTCCCACCCTCTCCCTCCATCTGTCGGTTCTCACAACACAGAATCGCCGCCGTGGCACTGGGCGGGCGAGCAGCCCCGGCAAGGAGGCCCGGTGTCCTCCGGCCCCAGGAGGCGACACCACACCACGAGCACCCCTCCCAGGGCCCCAACCCCAGAGCTCCACATTCGCCCGAGGGGACCTCATCTGGGCCCAGTGCGTCCGGGGATCACGGAATGTCACCCAGTCGTTGGCCCAGTCCTTCCCACTTAGGGCCTGCGGCAGCTACCATACCACACTATAACAAAATGCCCAAGGCAAGGTGTTTATAAAGAAAGCAGGGTATGTAGTGACCAAGCCCAGCCCAGCAGGCCCCCATGCAGCCTCTGCTGGGGTGTCCATCACAACGTGTGAGCACGCAGCTGGGCCGTCACGGCCCAAGCAGGAGGCCAGATGGGGAGGGCAGGCTCCCTCAAGAACCCTCTTCATTCTTTGAGATGGTGGCTCGTTGTGTAGCCCAGGCTGGCCTCAAACTCATGGTGATCCTCCTGCCTCAGCCTCTTGGGTGCTGGGATTACAGGCATGCACCACCACACCTGGCAGCCACCCTCTTTGGAGAAGTCCCCACGGCCGCAGGAGAGCCACCTTGTCCCTCTCCAGGGCACCAGGCCCCAAGGACCCCACCATTAAGGTCGGACCATGGCCGGGTCCTGCCAGCCTTGAGCCAAAGCCTTTGACACTGGCCCTCGGGGACAGGCGGCCACATCATGCCGTCACTAGGCCAGAAACCAAGCAGTGCCCGGGAGATGTCTGTGGCTCTAAGGCAGGAAGGAACCTCCGCAGGAGCAAGGGACAGAGCCACCTGCCACAAGCCTGAGTGTGTCGGGGACTCAGGGAGCGCAAATCGGCCCCGTCACGCAGTGTCCTGTGAGGAAAGGCCCACCACCGCAGAGCCCCCGCTGCCGGAGACTGCTCATTGTGCCCCTCCCTGCATTTCCACCCGTTAGAAGGGTCTCCCAGGGCAGCCCAGCCCGGCCTCCAACTCACAGCGATCCTCCCGCCTCGGCCTCTGAGGGCTGGGATGACAGCATGGCCACCAGCCTACGGAGTTTAGAAGGTGAGACTGTCCGTAACAAAATGTCCCCATCTAGTGTCACACGTCACACGTGGATAAGGGACCTCAGTTTCCAGAACAGGCTCGGTTTTGTTTGAAACTAGTCCTTCATTTTCACGACTGGGCGGAGGAAGTCGCAAAGTTGGATCCAAAGCATGAACTGTTCTACTCGTCCTCGTCACTGCTACTCTCAACTTTCCCAGCTCCTAGAGGCAGAAACCATCAGGACGCCTCCAGATATTCCACACGGACTCTGTGTCACTCAAATCTTGATTTTACAGAGCTCCAGGTAACCAAAGCGACGTCAAAACTTCTCCGCAATGAAACGCTTTCTTCTCTGTCTTTCCAATTGCGCAGCCGAGCTGGCGGGAAACACCCCACGCCAAGACCGCGGCCGCCTGGGGCCACCAGCCTGACCAGCGCGGCCCAGTGCTGTCTGTCCGACCCCTGGCGGGGCAGAGCCCATGAGCTGCGGTGTTGCATCTTCCCAGCAGGGGGCGACAGTGGGACAGGGCCCGGGAGTGAAGCCCGGCCAGAGCGTCACTGATACGCACGGGTCTCTCAGTAAAGTTAAAGCCGGCCCGACCCAGGCCCTGTATTTCACGGTACACTGCAAAGCACTTGTCTAGAAACAAGGCAGAGGGAAGCACAGGGTCTGGATGTCACTCGGGCAGGCAGGCAGGGTGACAGGACACCCAGGACCCGGGGGAAGATCCTGTCTGTTAGTGACCGGGTGGGCTAGGTTCCCGTGTGGTTCTTATAATTTCTAATTTTTAAAAGTTAAAATCAAGCCAGAGTGGTGGTGCAGGCCAGTAACCCCAGCACTCCAGAGGCTGAGCCAGGAGGATCACTGAGTTCAAGGCCAGCGTGGGCTACACAGCAAGACCCTATCTCACAAAACCGGAAATAAAGACATAAATCTATATCCATCTAAATTCAAGAGGCTTCTGTATGGGCCGGAGGGGTGTATGCTGAGAAGCAGACTATGAATTGAGCAGTACAATGTTCTGGAGTCCAAAGACTGGAGAGGAAGAAAAATGAAATGATGCATCTATGCAGTAGAGAGGGCAGGGTCTCTTCCCGCTCACCCTTTTTTGTTTGTTTGTTTACAACACTGGAGAATGAAGCCAGCGCCTCTGCACAGAGCTACATCCCCAGCCCTTTTGCTTTTTTTATTTTTTATTTTGCAACAGGGTCTTGGTTAGTCATGAAGCTGCCCGGGCTGGGCTGACTTTCCACCCTCCTGCCTCACCCTCACCCGTGTGTACACCGCTGCAAGCAGCTACCACCCTTTCTCTGGGAGTGCAACAGCCAACCGCCCTTCTCTCAGCAAGGAAGCCAAAGGACTCTGGGCGCCTCGGATGCCTCACCACTCCCGGCCCTGCCACCCTGGCCCGGCCCGGCCTGACCTCTGGGGTTTACACACTGTCTCCTCGGCACTGAGGTTGTCCACGTCTCACTCCTCAGTTGCTTGAGGTGCTGAAACATCAGCAGAGCTGCGCCGTGTCTGCCAGTTATTAATCGGACACAGGGACTGTGAGCAGGAGGACCATGAGTTCGAGTCCCGCCTGGGCAGCTTTGTGGCTTAGGGAGACCCTGTTTCCAAATTTTGTTTAAAAGGGCTGGGCTGGAGCTCAGTGTAAAGGCCCTGGGTTCCCCCCCTAGTATTAGAAAAGAAAAAAAGTTGACTGTAACTGAAGTATAAAATAATTTCATGCCTCTTTCCACAAAAGAGGCAAATGGATGTTATCGTTTTACAAAATATTGCAGTTTAATAAAAATGTCATCGGGCACTTTTAAAACCTAGCTACAGGTTTAACAGTACCCATGTATTTTATCTACAGCTAATATCTCTGAAATTGAAGTACCCCTATGACAGCCAGGTAATCATCAGTCATTTAAAAATAACTGCAAGCTGGAACATGGGAAAAAAGTCTTTTTCTACATCAGAATTACTCAGGTATCGAGCTCGCGTTCCCGCCTCGGCCGGCCGGAACTCACCCCACCCAGCGCGCTGCACCCCAGGGCCAGGAACTTGACCCACTCGATTTCGTCCTCGCAGGGATCCAGCCCGATCAGAGCCCGCAGCTTCTCCACCGGCAGGCACAGCGTCCGCCATTTATGCTCCAGTTCCGGCAGGGCCACGCAGGCCTCGTGGCTGCACTGGGGGGACACAGAGTGGGCGGGGCGGGCACGGGGAGGCTCGAGCCCAGGCGCAGCGACAAAGGATGGGAAGCAAATACGGTGTGAAGTCACGACTTCAAAAATGGGCAGATGGTGGGTGTGAACTCTCTCTCTCTCACACACACACACACACAGGCAAACTTCAACAAATAAAAACATTTAAAAATCCAGTGCCAGCAATGGCTGGTGATTCGGACCTGTAACCCAGCACTCTGGGAGGCTGAGTCAGGAGGATCACAAGTGTGAGCACAGCTTGAGCGACTGAATGACTGAGCAAGGGCCTGTCTCAAAATAAAGATTTTTTAAAATGGGCTCGGGATGTAGCTTAGGGCAGAGGCCCTGGGTTTGACCCCCAGTACCACAAAAGTAAATAAAATAAAACAAAAATCCAGTCCCCTGCGCGTGGTAAGAGTTACCCAGGAGAAATTTCAAAGCGAGCGTCAGTGTGTTTACTCCTGCCGCCGCGTCAGGCGGCCCGGGCCAGCAGGTCAGCTGTGGGCGGTCAGCAGCCCTCGGGGTCCAGACGCAGCCCCAGCGCCTCTCCCCCTCTGCCTTTCATTCACGCAGGGTTTCTCTGCGGCCCACACTGAAGCGCCATACTTCCGTTTCAGAATTTTCTGTTGTAGTTTTTCCTTTGTTATGTTTTTTAGTCCAGCAGAATCGGTCTCAACTTTGTATTTAAAGGAAATTATATTTCGTGTGTGTGCGCGTGCGTTCGTAGGGGTCACAATCAGGGTATTCTACCACTGAGCTACATCTCCCGGCCTTTATATTTTATTTGGAGACAGGGTCTCACTAAGTTGCCCAGGCTGGCCTTGAACTTGGGATCCTCCTGCCTCAGCCTCCCAAGTAGCTGGGATTACAGGTGTTCGACAGCGCACACATTGCTTTTCTAAATCTACACCTCAACAGCTATTTGGGGTTCTTTCAACAGGACAGGCAAGGCGGGCAGGGTGACCCGGGGTCCGGCCCCAGGGTTAGAACAGTGGCAGGACCCCTCCTACCTGCTTGTGCAGGACTCTCAGGAGTCCCTGGGTCAGGCCTGTGTCTGTTTTCTGGGTTGCCATGGACAGTTCGACTCTGTCCTTTATAGGAAGCGGATCTCCTTGCGACAAAGCTAAAAAATACCTGGTAAGGAGAGACAGCCCTGGAGTGAGCTGGTTCGGGGCGCCCAGGGCAGGCGGGAGCCACGCCCTCCTGGGAGGGAAGTCGGCGACCTTTCCAGGACGCCTTTGGCTCTCTCTCTCAGCCGTCTCCGCGTGCCTCAGTTTCTCCGTCTGTCTGCGTGCTCCTGGGGGCTCTCGGGTGGGGAAGGGCCCGGTGATGGCCACGGCTCCCCTTTCCCGGCCTTGCTGCTGCTGTGCAAGCCCCTGGTCCTCCCCGGGTTTTCCCTCTAACCTGCTCCCTCCCGGGGCACTGGGGATGCTGCTCAGGCTGAGGGGCACAGAGAGAATTTGGGGCAGGTCTGGCCCCTGGCCACGGGCCTGGTGGGGTCCTCTGTGGACGTCACTCGGCACAGGAAGGGGCAGCAGGGCCTCGGGAGGAGCTGGGGGCCCGAAGGCCTCACACAGGCCATGTGCACAGACTGGAGTCAGGCAGACCACAGACCGAGGCCTGGCCCCACCTTGTCCCCGGTCTGTCTTTTCATGCCTCCCATTTAACCTTACTGTCAGGCTTGGGAGATGACTTGGGCTCCACTTTACGCTTTTATGAGGGATTTGAGGAAAAGCCCAAAACAGGGAGTAAGACGGCAGCAGCACGGCAGCAGCGTTGGGATGGGGCTGAGTGTGTTGCTAGGGCGTGTTGCTAGGGCGTGTTGCTAGGGCACGTGAGCAGCTCTTCTGGAAGGGACTCCTAACAGATGAAAGGACTCCAGGGCTCAGAAGGCCTCTGGAGTAGGGGTTCTCGCAGGGAGCAGTTTTGGTCCCCTGTTCCCAAGGCACTGGTGATTTCTGGGCAGTTTGGTGGTCAGGTCAGAGGGAGGGCAGCACTGCAGCACCTCGGTGGGTACAGGCCCAGAGGTTAACACCCACAGTGCACTCCTCTGCGCCCCCTGTCGGTCCTGCCCTAGCTAAGAAAGCCTGCTTTATTCTAGTTATTTATTTTTTGAGGCAGGGTCTCACTGCATACTTCAGGCTAGCCCTGAACTCAAAGCAAGCCTCCTGCCTCGGCCTTCCAAGTGCCGGGATTACAGGTGTGTGCCACACCTGCCTTGGGAAAGCCTACTTTGGAAGGGAGACCAGTGAATGTTACACTCCACTGCTTCCCGGGACACCAAAGCTCCCTTTATCACTTGGCCAATTCAGTGGTCCACGATGACATAACAAGGGACACTGAAGGTGCGCCCCCGGGAAGCAGGCAGGGCTGGGACAAAGCGGACATGGCTTTGACACAGGCAGGCCCCCCGAGGGGCTCCTTTGAAGACTCTCCTCCAGCTTGGCTTCTGCACCAGAGTGACTTTCATCTGCACCCCATTTCCTGTCGGGTCTTTAGCTGGTTTTCTCTGGTCCTGTCCCTTTGTTACTACACTGCTTCCTTTTCCTGACTTGCTTTAGCCACACTCTGCCTAAAAAGTCTTTCCAAGACCAAGGCGCCCTCCACTCCACTTCACGAGCCCACGTTTATGCGCTGTGCAGGCCTCCCTGCCTCGGGTTCCTCATGAAGCTGCCTCTAGGTGACCTTCTGGGCACTGGGACACAAGCTCGTCGCCTGGTGATTGATGCCCGCCGGGGTTTCTCCTAAACTCTAAAATTGTTCTTGACAGAAATAAGCGGCACGGAGCATTCAGAAAGTTCTCCATTAAGCCTTTCAAATTAAAATGAAGCTTAAGATAACGGTCTCTAAAGTGTTACCAAATATAATTTGAGGCTCCAGAGAGAGGAAAAAAAAGCTAAATCCCTGGTATCTTTTTGTACGGTGTAAAGAAACTTCTATAAAATCTCACTATCTTTTATTTAGGCTTGAATCATCGTTAAAGCTTGAGACTTTTTTTGTTTTTTTACCAAGAACCTTGAGAGAAGCTTTCAAAAGCTATTGATGACAGTGCTTCACAGAAGGCAGGTGCTGGATTAACAAGCAGCCTTGTTGCTGGGTTAAATGATCTCCCTTCCCCCACAAATCCTGTCTTTGGAGGTCACCAATTTGAGATGGGAAAATTATCCTGGATTATCTAGACACCTCCCAACTGCAAAACACATGAGTTTTCAGAAGAGGTGAGTATAACACCAGCTGTGGGGACGCAGGCCTGTGATTCCAGCTCTCCAGAGGCTGAGGCAGGACAAGTGCCTTGAGTTTGAGGCCAGCCTGGGCTACATAGTGAGTTCAAGGCCAAGATGGAACTACAGAGCGAGACTCCATCTCAAAACACCAAAAGAAAAAGGAGGCAGAGAAAGAATCAAAGACAAAGGGCTGGTGAGCAGAGAAGTCCAGAGAATGCAGCTCTAGAAGCTGAGGCGAGGACAAAGCAGGGATTCTCCTTAGAGCCTTCAGGAAGAGCGAAGTCGAAGCTGGGCTGAGCAGAGCCTAGTGGAACTGATTCTGGACGCTTCACCTCCAGAACCGTAGAGATAAACGCTGTTTCAAGCTGTGAAGTGTTGTGTTCATTTGTTACAACAGCCAAAGGAAACTAATTCACCTTGGTTAGGCAGTTTAGACAAAGTCAGCAAAATCCTACATGTCAGTTACTAAAATGCACACTTAGACTGACTCCTGTCACTAACAAAGTGGGCTTTTTGTCTATTTACTGAGAAGGGACAAAGAGCTTTTCTGCATATCTCTTAAGAAAGTAATGGTTCTAAGGTTTGGGAGATTCATTTGCTGTGACCTCCGCTGGCCTTGGGGTGACTGCTGCGGTGGGGCCCTCGGAGTTCTGGCTGACAAACTCTTTGCCCAACGCGATTGCTTCGCAACCCTTTGTGTGCCCGTACAATTCAACTGCCGTTACTTTATAGGTAAATAAGCATTTGTGCAACGTTCTCTGGTCTCGTGGTCAGAGACGGCAACGGTTCCTAGACAGACAGGCAGACAGGCAGACAGATGTCACCCGGGCCAAGGACTGGGTCTCAGGTCCGCTTACCCCGCGGACCACTGCAGCAGGTCGGCTGGCTGGGTGCGAATGGCAGCCTTGGTGAACTGCTTCAGGATGTCCGGCAGCTCTGGGGGGATGTGGATCTGCTGCGCGCAGAACATGGTGTCGGGAAGCGGCATTGCTACCGCGGACCGCGACGGCCTAGGGAATCAGGGGTCCTGCGGCCAGGGCGGAGGTCGGCGTGAGCGCCCGCGCAGGGCCGCCTCCTCCCTCCTGCCGTCCCTCCCCGGGGGGCTCTTACCGGCTCCGGTTCCTCCTTGGGCTCCCGGCGAATGAGCGCCAACCGCCCAGCAGAGACCCCCCAAGCCCGGCCCTCTCCCTTCCACCTACTGTTGCGTCGTGGTATCCAGGCAACCAAAACGCAAACGGGCCCCGCCCCTGGGCGCTGCGCACGCGTGAGTGGCTCGGGCCCCTCGCAGGTGCGGGAGGCTCGCACATGCGCATCTGGCTCAGAACTTTTTTGGCGCCAACTGGTGCGGCGGCACGAACTGAACTTTTCACTCCGGGCACGGCCTCTTTTGATTGGTCGTTCTCCCGCCGCCGAAGGTGAGCGCCGAGTTCCCAGCTGCCCCTCGCCCTGACTTCTTGGGGCTGAGGGGCGGATGTCTCGGTCGCCCGAAAACGGGAGTGGGGCGGTGACCGGTGGCGCACGCTGCGTGCACGGCTGGAGATCGCGGCTCTGCGGGACTCGCGGCCTCGCCCACACGGGCCGCCCGAGCCGTGGAGTGAGCGCTTACTCTGCAGGCCTCAGTTCACACGCCACGCGGGTTTTCCAGCAAAACCTAGACGGACTATGGAACCGTTTGCCCGAGCGAGAGAGGGAGGCAGAGCCAGCCGCGGGGACCAGGCATGCGGGGTGGGCGCGGTGGCCGGGCGTCCTGGTTGGCTCCTGGGGTCGCGGGAACACGCGCTCGGGCGGGATGAGGCGGGGACGGCTCTTCCTCCTCCTGCCGGGGATCTGCGAGCTGCTAGGGGCGGACTCATCAGCAGCCTGCCCTCCGGGGAATCGGCCCATTTCAGTATTTTCCTTTTGATGCCGACGGGCGCTCGCAGACGCCCCCACGTTCAAAGCGGGCAGGTACTGAACAGACATTTAAAGTTGATGACGGTGTGGGAAAACAAAATCTCGTACCCTTCATGATAGGAGTGTTAATTACTACATTTGGGGGTAGTTTGGCACTACAAACATTTCTGATGACCTAGTAGTCTTTGAGGAATTTATCCTACAGAAAAACTAGCCCAAGTATAAAAAATATGGACACGATGTTAACTATCACATGTAATTAAATGGGTTAACTATCTTTCAGAAAACCAAAATGCTCGTCTGTCCACATAATTGAATACAGCACAGCCAGAATTTTAGAATTAGGTAAAGGTGGGTGTTGTGGTACAGAGGCTGGGGTGGGAGGATCATTTGAACCCGAGCTAGACCAGCCTGAACAACATATTGAAATCTCATCTCCAAAAGAACTCCAGAGTTCGGTGTTATCCCAGCTTCCCAGAAGGCTGAGGTGGAAGGATCTCAACTTCAAGGCAAGTCTGGGTTTAGCAAGAGTCCCCAAACAGGTCCCGAACGGGGCGCGGGGGGGGGGGGGCTACTTATGTCCTGGTATAAAAATATCCACGGAGGTGCACCCAGCACTCTGATGCAAGATCGCAAAGTGGAGTCCAGCCTGTGCAAGTTGGCAGGCCCGTGTCTCAAAATAAAGCAAACAGAAAGGGCTGAGGATGTAGCTTGGTGTGAAAGCCCTGGATTCGATCCCCACAGGGTGTCCATGCGGTGTGAAATTAAAAACGCCCACTGTGGAACTGCCTGTGTGGTTCATCACCTGTACTGTGGGTCTATGATGTGCCTGTGTGGAGCGAAGTTTGGCAATGGAGTTACCTCTGGAGACAGACTGAAAAGCAGACGTCTCAAGTTTTTTTTGACCATTTTAATCAGCAGCGGTTACCGAGAACCAGCTATGTGCCAGGGACCGGTCTAGAGTCTAAGAATACAGTAATAATTTTGTTTAAAAATAAAATCTCTGGGCTGGGGATTTAGCTCAGTGGTTCCACTGCCTGCCCTGCAAGCGCAAGGACCGGAATTCGATCCCCGGTACCAAAAAAAAAAATCTCTGGAGCAGAATGTACAAACAAATAAGTAAACCACACAGTATGTTAAAAAGTATGAAAAACAAAGTAGGAAACAAGACAGGAATACCTACTAGCTGCGACTTCAGATATGCCTCACTGCAGGAATGAGTACACCAGGGAGCCCAACTGGACATCCAGGCACAGCAGACAGTAAGTGCAAAGGCCCCGAGGCCTAGGGCCACAAACACCAGGCGAGGGTCAGAGGGAAGCAAAGGGTGCCATGTGCTGCAGGTGTTGAATGCCACGGTGACAGTCATCCCACTGACATGATAGTAATCCATCAGAGGGCTCTGGACCAGAGGACTCGTGATCTGATATCAGTCTTCACTGGAGCAGTCTGGGTTCACTGTTAGGAGGAATGAAGAACAGAACAGAGCAAGGGCAGAGGCAGGGAGCCCAGGAGAAACAGCGACAACCCAGGCAGGAGGAGGACAACTGGTTCATCCACTGGAGGCCAGCAGCGAGGTGGAGCATAGCAGCTGCATTCCGCATTCATTCTGAAAAGATCTGCTCTAGCCTGGACATGCAGCATGCCAGAAAGCATCAGTGGCCTTTCCAGCATTTTTGATTTAGCAACTTTAATCCTTGGATCCAACTCCTTAGCCATGGAAATGGGGAAGTTTGAAAAATGGCAGATTGGGGGTCGTGTTAGCTTTGTGTGGCTGTGAAAACACCTTAAAGGGAGAAAAGGTTTATTGTGGCTCAGTTTTAGAAGGTTCAGTCCTTGGTCAGCTGGCTCCATTGCTTTGAGGCCTGTGGTTAGGCAGAAACATCACGGCGGAAGGGGATGTGGAGGAAAGCTGCTCACCTCATGGTTCCAGGAACCAAATGGAAAAAGAGAGTCAGAGAGGAACAGGCCAGGGACCAAGATAGCCTTCAGCGTTACCCCCAGGGCCCTGCTTCCTCCGATTAGCCCCTCCCAATCAGCTCTCTGAGCTGCAAACTCATGAGTGTGTTATCTGCTGATGAAGTGGAAGCCCCCATGACCCGGCACCTCTCAGAAGCCCATCAGCTGACAACCAAGCCTTCCTAGCAATGAGCCTTTGTGGGGCAACGCAGAGAACTGTAATGGAGTAGAGGCAATTACAGGTTGTGCTTTGGACCTAAGGGGATCTCTGGAAGGTATCTATGTAGGTGGTTGGACATTTACATGCGGAGTTTAAGGAAAACAGAATGCGTGTATCTGAGTGATCAGTGCAGACCTTCTGTATGGCCCTGAGACTGTGAGCCCCTGGCCAATGGGGGTCCCAGACTGAGGCCTGGAGTTTCTAACAATTGGAAGAAAAGGTGGAGCCAGCGAAGTTGAAGCAGAGTCTACACGGGTGGGAAGAAATCAGGAGTGCAGTGTTCTGGCAGCTAAGGAAATGGTTGGTTTCAGTGGAGAGAGGAAATCAGCGTTGTTGGAAGAGATAAGAACGACAGACCTGGGATCTTCACAAGACAGCTTCAGTGGAGTCACGAGAGCGACACCTATTGGAGTGGGGCTGCAGGAGCGCGAGATAACTCCTTGAAGGCATCTGCTGAAAGTGACACTGAGCGGTCTGTGGAGAAAGTGAAGACTGTTAGTGGAAGAAATCACAGCCATGGTGGATGAGGATGGAAGCCAGGAGAGAAGACACATTTAGGATGGGGGGACCTGCAGAGCCGAACACCGGAGCAGGCAGAACCCATGCGAGCTGGGGACATGCAGCCTGCACAACTCAGTGGCATGTACCACACGTGGCTTTTGTGGTGAGCACGTGGACAGAGGTGCAGGTCGGAGGGTGGCAGATGTGATGGTGTGAACTTGGGAAAGTTCTCTTTGGACTGCGTCTGTCTTCTCTGTGACATAGGAATGAAAGTATCAGAAGTGAGGGAAGAGGTGAAGGGAAGTATGAAATAGTTCTTTTAAGAGTGGGTATGAAGGGAGCATTACTGTAGGGGACCGCCCCACTGATTCTGCCCAAAGCCCAAGCTGTGAGCAGTGCAGGCTGTGAAGTCAGCCCCACAACTGGCTTGTTTAGAGACGCAAGTCTGGCTGAAAGCTATGTGCCGAGGTCAGTGACTCTTATCCAAATTCTGTTCCCACAGCTAAAACCTTCACTAAAAAGACAAGGTTAGGCTGGGGATTTAGCTCAGTGGTTCTGGCGCTTGCCTCGCAAGCGCAAGGTTCCTAGTTCAATCCCCGGTAACAACAACAACAAAAAAAGACAAGGTTATTTGCTGACCACAATCTGTATTTTATCTGTTCTGTTCCTAATTCAAGAATGGTTTCTCTTCCTTTACAAGCCTTGCCTGCATCAGCAATGTATCCCCCAGCAACTCCACGTAGCCCCCTTACTCTGACCTGTGATGTCACCAATAAATATCAATGGCTTTGGCTGGCCATGGCCTTTGCTTGTCAAGCACTGGACATCCTGGCTCCCCATTTCTAACTGGCTGTCTCTTTAACTCGGTCTTTCTTCCCACCTTGCGCCGTAGCACTGAGATCAGAACCCACTGCCCGGAGCTCCAGTACATTACTTAAGTAAACTAAGGCATAACTAACCTACAGTAAATGGCGTGCACTTAAAGTATGCAGTTGCCAGAGCCTGACACATGTACATGTCAGGCCAGAACCACATCAAGATGCCGAACATACCCAAGGCCCATTCCTCCAGCCCCTGCCCCCACTGAAATTTCCATAGATTTCTCTCCATTTTCATTTATTCAGCAGAAACCATCAGCACTCTTGGGCTCTGACAATGCTCATTCTGAGATGTGTCCATGTTGCGTGTCATCGAGTTTGCTGTGGTGGGGAGCACCAGGCCATTGAACGGATGATCACAGCTGTGCACCCACTTAACCTGCTGTGGACACGCGGATTGTGAGCCCATGCTCTCCTCTTGGCAATAGCTGGGGGCAAACTGCCAAGCTGCCCTCCCAGCCACTCCCTCTGGCACTGAGCGTTCTGGTGCCTCCCCCTCACCCACTGGGTGCAGTCAGTATTTTTAATTTCAACCGTTCTTCCAATAGGTATAGGGTGGTACTTCATTGTGGTTTTAATCTGCACTTTGTAGGAATTATGTTGAATATCTCAAGTGCTTATTTGCCATCTGCAGATCCTCTTCAATGAAGTGGCTGTTTCAATATTCATGCACTTTTGAAATGGGCCGATGGGTGGACTTAGTCTTGGGTTTTCTATATTCTAGATACATACTCTTCAACGGAAATGTTTTGCAAATATTTTCCGCCATGGTATGGTCTTTTTGTTCTTAGTCTCTTTCAGAGAGGTTTCCAATTTTGATCAAGTACAATTTATCAATTCTTTCCTTAAAATCTTTGCCCAACCCAAGATTGAATGCTTTTTTTCCTTTTTCCCCTTAGAAATGATACCATTTTGGGCGATACCTTGAGGGCTCTAATCCATTTCCATTCTTGTATATGGTGTGGATCCATTTTTAAACTTTGCACCTGGTATCCAATCAGCTATGTACATCTATGTGGGTCTCCTTCTGGACTCTGCTCCAGCAGTCCCACAGACACTGAGCTGACTGAGCAGAAAACAAATACAACAAGGAGCAGGGCTCCTGGGGAAGCCGCCTTGCTTCTCCTAAACAAGTTAAATGGCAACAACTCAGGCACAGCTACGAGACATTTTAAAACAGATAATGCTTAAACAATGCAAAGTGCTCCTGCTGCTTCTGTGTGGTTCCAGGGAGTAGTGCACTGTGCAGCGCTGCAAGAGCCTGGTGGCAGGAGGCTGGGACAGGAAGTATGGGAACGTGGCAACGCTTACACAGAAAACGGTAAGCAAGTAGCTAGGGTCACAGGCTCCGAGCGAGCCCGTCTGTCTCCAAGCATTCTACTCGCACTTCTCTGCAAATGAGTTCTTGAAGGTGAACATCATACCTCATTCAACTGTCCTAACAGGTACAATGCAAGAAACAAAATGGACGCCGGAAACACAGAGTGCAGCAGGGTGGGGATAGGCCCTTCCCAGCCTCACTTTACCAGCTCCTCTGGTCACTGCATGTGTGCAGTGAGTGGTTGCAAACTGGAGGGGATGGAAATTGGAGGGCCGTTTCTGAGCCTCATGATGCAACTTCCTTGACAAAAATGTTCCTTCCACTTGATAGATTAAAGATGTCTCTAGTTCATACATCACCTCCCTCCTGCAATTAAAGAATAAAAATGCACTAGGGGCCGGGGATTTAGCGCAGTGGTTTTGCCGCCTGCTGCGCAAGCTCAAGGACCCGAGTTCGATCCCCAGTACCAAAAAAAAAAAAAAAATGCACTGGATGGGGTGGGGGGAATCATACAGTAATGTTGAAGGTTTTTGAAAAAACGCTGAACCTAGAAACAAGAATAAAAATTAAAATGAGTCTGAAGCACTCTTCACTGGGGGCACGTGGGAGGAAAAACCCTCATCCAATGCTCTCTTCCCGGAGACGTACGGTCAACCGCGTAGAGCAGTTTCTATCTTCTAACTTTACCAAAGTCCCCATGTAAAAGCAGCCAGGGAAGCCCTGGCTTTCGGATCCCGGAGAGGGCGCACAGTGAGTGGACAGCACTGTGCCTATGGCACAGGGAGGGGCTTTAGCCTTTCCAGTGAGGTCGACAAGAAAAGGAAGCCTGTCCTCTGTAACTCTTACTTTTAGACGTACGTAAAATAGAAGGAAGGGCTACACCATATGGAATTAGAGTCCTAGTTCTTACATTATATGAAAAATATTTGGATTATCTACATATGCTGACAAAACACACTCCCTTTGTTTTGTTTTGGAGACAGGGTCTTCCTGAGTTGCTAGGCTACCGAACCCTGAACTCCCAATTACTGACTAGAGCAATCCTGCTGCCTCAGCATCGCAAACCGCTGGACTACAGGTGCACGCCAGCACACCGAGCTTCACATCTCCGTAATTTTAAGACAATCTTGCCACAAAACAAAAACAAACCAAAAAACATCTAGGCTACAACTAACATCCACTTTATTCAGTTTTGTTCTATCAACTCAGAAGGCAACAAATGACCACATAAAAAAGGGAACATTTTTAATGTATACATATAAAATTGGTCTAGGTATCTAAGGTGTTTGATTCGATAGAAAATTGACATCCCAAATGCCTAAGTATTCTATTTAGCTTCTACTACAGTCACTCCTAGGCCTTAGTTATTATATTTTCTTCTACAGTGTTTTATTACTTGCATGACTACAAAATGAGGCACTCATACAAAATAGGAATATATACGTTTATGGTAAATTGATGCCCAAAATATCATCAGGGATATTTGAAAGAAGCCCTTACTCGTGATGGTTGTTTGAAAAAAATTGACACACAACAGCAGTAAGCTGGAAAGCAAACATCTGACTGACAGGGCAAACTGACCGCAGAGAATCTCCACACTGAGGCCTGCACAATACTTCAGAGGTAAGACACTAGTTTTGTCTTCTCTTGATGATGACTAAGTAGCATTGTAAAGGAAGATTTTAAACACAGTCACTGAATTTTACAGTGTAAAAACAATATGAGTAAACAGGTTAATATTTTCAATACTGAAAATAAAAATAAGTGACTAAGTTGCAAAGATTTAAAAAGTGGCAGGGTTCTTTTGGCACTAGTCTCCTATGTGTGTTTGCAAAAACAATACAGTGTTGAAATGTCCAGTGTTTCTTTTTGGTTTTGTTTTAAAAAGTCATTGATTTAACCTAAATTCAAGAATTACACTTTAAGAGCATTTTGCTAACACAGAATGACACATCCAGGAGCCAATCATTTGAGGGAAAGCTATTCTCTATCATTTGTATGAGGGAAAGAAAAAAGACAAGACAAGCTTCCACAGTAACAACAGTTGTATTCAATGTCGAAATAAAAATTACTTGTTTACATCTGGAATTAAGATGTCCCATCTTCTTTGTTACTCCAGAGAACAGGTTGGGCGGGCGGGGTGGGGAGTGGGGGAACACGACTAAAAACATCGAGCTGTTTAAAGGCTAGCTACACACAAACTTCACATTGGCATTTTTCTTCAGTTTTCATCTAAACTATTAGCACTTTATAGTTTAAAAACCAAACATAATTTGCTAATAAGAAACAAATGAACACCTCATACTATGACCACCTGATAAATGGCCATGTAAGACTAACCGCAAGTGTTGATCTGTGTTCAAGTTACAAAGAGCAACAAGGTCCTCTTCCTTGAAGACTTTTAGCTCAATGTCAAATGAAAAGCTACACTATAATTTTTTAAAAAACTCTATGTGAAGAAGGGCAGGAAAACTAATACTTTATGAACTATGGGTTTAACATATTTATAAGTATTGGTTAATGGTAAAAACCTGGATGCTACCCAAGCAAATACGCCAGGATTCCTTTCCTTAGAAAGGATCTCTCTCACTGAAAACAGGACAAAGCACACCTGAAGGAGGGTGTCCTCAGAAAGACAATATAAAGTTATCCGCCAGTGAGAACAAGGACAATTTTTGGCTACACACACGCACACATATTTTTTTAAACAAAACGTAAGATTCATTTAAAATTTCATAGGATTAACAATCTTTAACCTTTCGTGGTATCTGCCTACATCTGTTAAAATGTGTTCTAATGACTTTAAATCAAGATCTACAAATTCTCTGAAAATTAAAAAGAAACCTAAAGTAATACGATCAACATATATGCCCAATTCAATATTTTTCTCATGAAAAGAACAACCTATGTAGCCATACACCATGATAGGTGCCATTACACTTTTAAATGCTCCGAGTTTTTTACAGTAGGACTCTATTTCTGAGTACAGGTCTAGCAAAACAAGAGAATGGGCTACTACAAAGCGCTAAAGAGTGTTAACACTGATTCTATGTTGAGCATTTTTTGATACTGATGTTTTAAAATGAATTTTAAAGTATCTCATCACTTAGGGAAAAAAAAAAAAACAGAACCATCATAACACGTTGCTCTTGATTTTGGTAGCTTATGTTTGGCTTACTTTCGTATTTTAAAAAAACTCTCAATTTTAATCTATGGGTTATAATACTGTATGGAAATTCTTATGGTTTCTAAAGACCTACACTGTCCACTTCTATGAGAATGTCTAAACTGTCCCTCAAAAGCAAACAGTACCCTCGCCATGTATCATTAGCATTAAATACTCAGATCATGTAACCAGCCACTCTATTCCTCCAAACTCTGAACTTGACGCTTTGGTTATAAGGGAAATCGGGTTTGTGAGTGTTCAGTTCTCTAAGCTTTTTTACAGCACGTTTGCAATGAAATACATTCCTATGTTAAAAGGCCAGCTCAGCCAGCTTCCTTTGCAGTTTTATTCTGTAAACAAAAAGCTTTGGAAACTTGATTTACTGAGGAAAATGTGCTCACTAATCCTCTCCCAGTGATGCACTGACTAGCTGGACGAGGCATGCTAACCAGTCTTCCCTAATGCTGGCAATCCAGGACCACACCACGTCCACTTGACAAGCATCTCAGGATGTCCGACACCCAGTAAGATGCAGTGTTATTGGTGATGTTACTCCCTAAGATTTATGGCCTTGCATGAGAAAAAGAAAAGAAAACTGGTCAAAAAGAAAGAGCTGTGTGGAAGGCATGTACAGGGAACTAATGAAAATCTTCATTTGTACCTTTCTTTTTTTTGCCTCTTTCCCCTAAGAACAGACATGCCCCTAACAAGCACAAAAACCTGACTCCCAATGCTCATCACTAGGCATATTAATTATCAAAATTAAAAATAATCTCCTCACCTAGCACAAGATACTATACAATATTACAAACACAGACACATGAAAAAAACCAGGCAGTAGAAAATGTACAACAGCTTTGGTGTTATACAAAATAACTTCTGAAAACGACGGACAGTGAAGGGCACAATTCATGTTTTCTTACCACAGACACCCACCCCGCTGCTGACGTCTACCTGCTTCCTCTCAGTCCCCGAAAGGCAGGAACAGCCCAGACAGACAGATAGACATACAGGTACCAAGGGGGAGCCTGAGCTGGCTCCACAAGGCGGCACTGAAGTTTCACCTGTGCACTATTGCTCTGTGGCACGATTCCTGTCGAGATCACAGCAGGTCCAAAATAAAGTGACAACTAGATTTAATAAATTAATATACATTTGTTTAAAGATGTACAATGCACATTCTATTTAATCCGAGGTTTTAGGGTATCAAGGAACTTCTATGTACACATATACAGATCTCAGACAGCAGTGATGTCGGCAGATGCAGGGAGGAGCAGCAGAGCTGTATGAGCTGCTCTCTGAATGCTGAGGATACAAGTCAAGTACAGTCAACTTAAAAACAACGCTGAGAGACCACAAGAACTCTCCAAAGCGAGAAGTCCACAAAGAGGACATGTAAAGGCAAGGGGAAGGCCAAGGAGTTGAAACAACCGCTTTACTCCTGGGACGACGGTGGAGGAGGCGCAGAGGTGCCCTGCTTGCCAGACTTTCGCTCATAGTTCACCAGGCGCTGCCCCACAAGGTACCTAGGGTGGAAACACAGGGTGGTCACTCTCTTGCACAACCTTGTGTATAAAACATCCTGCCATAGCATGATGCATTTTTTTGTTTGTTTTTTTGGAACCGGGGATCAAACTTGGATCCTTGCACTTGCGCATCAGGCGGTTAAACCACTGAGCTAAATCCCTGGCCCTTTTGGCTTTTTTTTTTCCTCTCTTTTTTTTTTGGTACCGGGGATCAAACTCAGGTACTTGCAGTTGTGAGACAGGCAGCAGAACCACTGAGCTAAATCCCCAGCCCCCATGATGCATTTTTAACACGAATCACATCAACTTACTCCTACTACACCTTTCAGTAGTTAGGGAGCTGAAAGAGGGGAACCAGAAGTGCGGTGGGTTTGCAGAAGTATGGAGGGGGGCTGGTGACTGCCGAACGCCTGCTGCTGTGTGGTGCAGCATGCACTGCAGTCTGTGGGTCAAGATGGCCTCGGAACCTCAGACCCTTAGTAGACACTGCCACACCAGGAGGCCAGTGTGGAAGGGAAGCAGTCAGGCCCAGGACCACGGCCTGCTGTGTCAGGAGCTGGCGAGGCTGCCCCTGCTTCTCACCACTGCCTGTGCCACCCCGGCTTCCATCCCTGGCTTCTCTGCTGGTGCACACCAGCCTCAGGAGACATCTGGCAGCTTCTGTCCAGTTGCTTCCTGTGTCACTGTTCGTAAAGTGCTTCTGGATCCATGACCTCAGTGTAGGTTTAGTCTCTTGTCTTACCAATTCGTTTCTTTCTTTTTTTTGGTACCGGGGATCGAACTCGGGTCCTTGCACTTGCACAGCAGGCGGCGAAACCACTGAGCTAAATCCCCGGCCTGACCAATTCATTTCTTGAAGTTAACAATCTGGCTCACTGTTTCCTAACAAACCAGTATAACTCAGGATTTCACAATTTTTTAAAACAGTGATGATATCTGACATGATACATGTGGTGCAACCTAGCACATAAGTAATCACCAAGCGCTGCAAGATAATGAATGTGCGCCACACGGCGGCAATGGAAAACCGAGGGCATAAGTTTACAGAGGACAGAAATACTAATTTGTCCAAAACCAAAAGTAATTCAGTGGCAGAGAGGTGAGAATCTAAATCCACACCTGACTCTCTCAATCTACTACCCTTTAATGCCCTCAGCCAGTGTCCGCCCCTAAGCAACACTTGGGGTCAGACACGACACTGACCAGCAGGACAAAATGAAATGCAAGAGGTGCCTGGGCACAGGCCGTGGCGGAGGCCGAGCAGGCAGAAGGCTTGTGAGGGCTAGGCTTTTCTGGAGCTTCAGGTGCACACCTCCTCCTCAGCCAGGACATGCCACACGATACGGGACCACTGTCCTCACCAGGACACCACCCCCGAGGGCCATGGCCCTTCCTACTCCAAGCACACCTGCACACCGTGAGAACGTGATTTCACTCTGAAAAACGTACTTCTTGGGGTGTGGCTATCAGTGCGCCCTGGGCTCAGTCCACAGGCCCCACAGTAAACAAAGCTGCTGTGTGATTTATTCTCCCGAGAGGCACCCCAGTGAAGGGGCGCTGTCCACAACGACACAACAGCCCGGGAACTGAGTGGACAGTTATGTTCTCTGCTGGCCTCCACCAGAGCCCGGGACAAAGCGTGCAGTCGGGACCTAGAAGTTCCTCGGCTGTTATCCAGGAGGGGGCCTGCTGAAGCTCTCCTCTACCTCTTGCCCAGACCAGGTGGCACAGGGGACCTGTGAACTTCTGCAGCCCTGAGCCTCGGAGCTGTGGTCAGGGCAGCCTGGCCACCCTGCGTGAGGAAGGGCTTACGCAGGTGCTGCTAGCTGCTAATGCAGGGTCTGATCTGCACCTGAAACTACCGAAAACACCGCCCATGCGAGACAGGCGAGAGCAGACTGAGAAGCCTGTTGAACGCGCATACTAATAACTCTCCTCCCACCATGCTCTTCTCCGGTGAACGATAGCACCACAACCCCTGCTGCTCGGGCCAGGAGTCCCAGAGCCTCTGCTCCACATTTCACAGCCACCTCAGCACCGTCTGAGGAGGAGCCACTGCCACCTGCGATGGAACTGGCAACACCTCAATAAAAGTGGACTGACCAATGAGGTTCAAGACTTACTTGTCATTTTTAATATGTTCATAAAGGCGCTTAAACTGGCGGACCTGGAAGGACAGGATTCCCATCAATACCACGACCATCAGTAAAAATGGATAAATCCGCCGGTGGACTAAGTTTTGCATTTCAGCAGTTACACCTGTGAAACCAAAAAGGAAAACTGTAAGTACTGTGTTGCCGTGGTCGGTCTGGCTGTGGGGTTCGCGTGGGGCACTGAGAACTGGAGGAATGTTAGAGGTGGGGCCTGTCAGAGGGACTGAGGTGATGCTCCCCGCTGGGAAGGGACTCACGCTGAATCCAAGTGGGTCCTGAGGAATGAGCAGTGAGCCCGTCCCGCCCTGCCCCGTCCTGCCCTGCCCTGGCCTGCTGTCCCCTCAAGGCTTGTCCTCCAGGCGCTGCCAGGACACTGACACCGCCACATGAGCCTCTCATCGGGGGCCAACCGATGGATCACTCAGGCTGCGATGTTCAGCCTTCAGACTGTGGGCTCAATCTCTGGTCTTTATAAATACCCATTTTCAGGTATTTTGCTATAGCAATAACAAATGGAATAATGCGCGTGTGTGGTAACAGTGAAAGAAAAAGTGTCCACTCCCAGGAAGAGCGCCTGGGGCACGCAGTACAGCAGGCTTCCTGGATGCGCTTTCTAGGCCCCAGACCTGCTGGCCGCCTGCAGCCTGAGTGAGACATGGGCCTTCCCAGCACTCGTTCTCAAACTCTGTAAAGCGAGGGAGCTGGCTGGATGGTTGCTGCAGTTCCAGCTCAGACATCCTGGACCACAGGAGTAGTTCGTATCGTTCATATGTTTCAGCTACATCACAGTTTGAACCACAAAAACAAAAAACTGCCTGCTATACTTTTAGACACTCAAGTATTTATTTTCCAACTTTCACCTCTTTAAGTTTTAACTCTTCCTTGAGGGGAGGGGTGGCAGTTTTTTGAAGAAGATAAGGAAGTGAATTTTCTCAACCGGATTATTCTAAATACTGCCACAGTCTGCTGTAGCAGAGAGCGTACAGGCTCTGGAACAGGTTCTGCACAGGGATTAGAGTTTGACTCTTTCTCTCCTAAGATACAAAGTGTATGTGTTCCAGTTCCCCAAGATGAATGTCATTATTACATATCACAAAGTTAAGCTAATAAAGAAGAAAACTGAAAAAAATTGAGAATTTCAGTAAGAGTCTCAACTCTATGTGCCTATTTCCTCATCTCTAAAATTTTAGAGGTTAGGGCCGGGGATTTAGCTCAGTGGTTTCGGCGCCTGCTGCGCAAGCACAAGGACCTGAGTTAGATCCCCGGTACAAAAAAAAAAAAAATTTTTAGAGGTTAGAGAGGATCCAATGATGCTCAGCAAAGAGGTACCGAGATCCAGTCTGTGGAAAGGTCTCCATGGCCACTACGGGAAGCACTGACTAGCAGTGGCAGGCTCAGAGCTGGAAGACCAGACAGGAGGCTGCTAAAGTTAAGGTGAGAGGCAAACGCCTCCATGCAGCCCAGGTCAGGGCACCAGGACAGAGCACGAGTCCTCAGGCTGGGTCAGCGGTGCCCTGGAGCACAGTGCGTGCGGCTGACAGAGAACATGGGCACAAAGAAGCCTTCGAAGTTTCTGACTTTTATCACACATTCAGTAACGACACCACTCACTCAGAGAATTCAGAACAAAAGATTTTTTTTTTGGTCTTGATACGGCCTTGCTATGTAGTTCAGGCTGGCCTTGAACTCACTATGTAATCCAGGCTGACCTCGAATTCATGGCGATCTTCCTGCATTGGCCTCCAGAGTGCTAGGATTATATACTGGTTTTAATGTCCTGTGAGAAATCTTCAGTAACAATCAATAATATAACTAGTTATTAAGTGTCACGAATTAGCATCTCCCCTTGGTTTCGCTTTTATCCTAAGAATACTTTTTAAAATATTGTAACACTCTTACTTAATTTTAAGTATAGGATCACAGCACTTCTAATGAGAAAACAACCTGAAGGAAATCTGACCCTGCCTATTTTGGGAAGACTATAAATGTCAACAGTTAATCACATGCCTAAAGAAGACAAACAAAAACCAAAACCAAAAACTACCAATAGCTTAAGAGTCTTCTAATCTTACTCTGAGTAGTCAAACCTAAGAAAAGAAGAGTCGTGAAATCAGTGTGTTTCTTTTTTCTTTTTCGGTCCGGGGATCTAACTGACGACCCTGCATTTGCCAGGCAGGCTCAGCACTGCTGAGCTACATCCCCGGCTCACGAAATCACTGTTTTATATTTACAAATAAAGCATCTGGACTCCGACAGCCTTTGCTACCTGAAGTGACCCGATGTGACAGTAACACAGAGGACCCCACCGAGGCTCCTTGGCCAGCATGACCCACCTAGGAGGGGAACAACACCAGAAGCGATGACATAAGGGACACACAGGGACAGCAGGAGCACAGAGATCACCGGAGCCGCCAGTTTACGGACAATATAGTGAAGGTCAATGTTCCGGATGCCATTTGCATAAACCTGAAACATTAAAAAAAAATTGGAATAAAGATACTAGACAAACTCCCTCAAATTAACAGAGCAATGAGTACCGAAACCAAGCCACAGCGAGCTGAATCTGTCAGCCCAAAAGGATTAAAACTGGGTACTTTTCCTAAGTCAAGGCAAACTCTGGAGCACAAACATAAGCGCTGGGCCTGAACATTCGGAGGAAATGCGCTTACCAGCAATGCTTACCAGCAACACTTCCCGTCAACCCCACCGGAAGCAGGGTGCACACTGCCCTGGCCCCTGTGGCTGAAGACTGCACCACCTGAAGTGCTATAACACTTGTGTAACAACAAACTGTACTATTACTCAAAATTATACTTATTTTTAGGAATGTGAGAAGAAAATAATGAAAACGGGAACCATGCTTCTGAGAAGTTAGTATAAACAAAATTTTATTTTTTGGTACCGGGAATCGAACTCAGGCCCTTGCGCTTGCGAGGCAGGCGGTGGAACCACTGAGCTAAATGCCGAGCCCTATATAAACAAATTTTAACAAATCAAAAGGTATTTTATGTCAAAAAAAATTAGCATGAAAGAATTCTACAGTGAATATAACAAAAACCCAAGAATTTCGAAAAGATTGCTATCGTCTGGAAATTACTGAACACAGAAACTCACGGGGTGGAAGTGGGAAAATGCTGAAAAGCCTGAGACTGTTGCAGCTCAGTGGGACCAGAGGAAAGGACACAGCTCTTGCCTTCTTTCCCTCTCGCCCTCACCCACAGCACAAGCAACTCTCAGAACCCTTGGTTCCACAGGGACCCAAGTCGGCCCGCACACTCACTGCCACGAGGGCCAGGCCCCACGCTCCTGGCGTACTTGCGCGCATGCGCCCACACCCCTCGCCGGGCGGCCAAGGCTTCACCAGGCTGAGGTCTCTAGGCGCAGGCACAGTGCTCTCTGCTCTGCTGCGCTTGGCTGAGAAACTCTTCCCATCAAGGGAACACATCGAGGGAGCTCAGCCTCTGCTGCTGCAGACCGGCGCAGGGCCTTGTTAGTCTGGCACTGAGCAAAGGATAGGAGGAGCCTGGAATTCATTCTTCAGATAACCAAAATCTCTTATGCTGGCTACTTTAAATAGAAATCCCCCTAACATGGACTAGGCTGCTGGCTAGTACAAACTTAATCATATAATGACCACATTATCTGGCGGCCCCAATACAGGAAGAGTCTTGGGTGCTACACAGCTGGACATCCCTGAACAATTCTGACATTTCCTTCTTTGTTCCTTGTCTGTTGTTTACTGCCTTGAGCAGTAATAACTTCTCTTCTGCAGGCTGAGAAACATGAGTGAATACTATTTCATAGGAACTCTTGCCCTGGAAGAAGCACATAGGCTTTCTGCATCCACTTGGACAAGGTTCTAGGTACTTAAGTTACTGGTTCACCTTCAGAGCAGCCTTAAAGTGGCTGTGATTGAGTTTTGCCATGTAGTCCAGGCTGGCCTTGAACTTGTGATCCTCCTGCCGTGGCCTCCTGAGTACAGGACTACAAAGGGGTGCTGGGATCACAAGTGTGGAGCACCAGGCCTGGAGTGGATGAAAACTCAGGCAGTGTGGTAGGTGAGAATATGCCATCCCTAAGTACATCTTCTTGGTGTAAGGATTCTGAGCTAAAGTCAACTGAACAGCAGCAGATGCAGGAAAGCCCCTTGTCCTTCCTGTACTTGCCTAATGCAGGACAAAGGTTTACAGAGACAAAAGGCAGCTTACCGCCTCCCCTAGCAATGGCCAGCAAAGAGTAACTGCTGAACAGCACGTGGACCTGTAGTGGCCTGGAGATGGCTGCAGAAGCTGCATTAACAAGCTTTCCTAACTAGCTTCAGCTGCTATTTGCCTTTCCCCAAAATGCTGCCCCTGCAGTCTCAATTTATTTCCATTGGCTTGTTATATCTAAAAATTTCCTATTCTTTCTTGAAAACGTTACATAAAGTGGAATTCAAAACCACCTTTTTAAGAATTACCCATTCCCAATATATAAATTATTTTTCCTTCCCCTACAGTAGTAAAACAAAACTGCACATTAGGGGCCGGGGATTTAGCTCAGTGGTTCTGTCGCCTGTCTCACAAGCGGAAGGACCAGAGTTCAATCCCCAGTACCAAAAAAAACAATTTAAAAAAATTTTTAAAAACTGCACATTAAAAGAAACTGTATTATGTGGTGGCACACTCCTGTAATTGCAGCTACCCAGGAGGCTGAGGCAGGAGGATTGCTGCGTTGAAGCCCAGCCTGGGCAATTCATTGAGACACTATCTCCAGATTTAAAAATAATTTTTAAAGGGCTGGGGATGTAGCTCAGTGGGAGAGTACCTGCCTAGCACATGTGAGACCCTGGGTTCAATCCCCTGTACCAAGGGAATAGAATATAAAGAAAATCAGTTTTAAAACAGTAGTCAAACACAACCATTGGCCAATTCCAATATAACCTCTGAAAGGTGATTCGCTTACCTGTTCAATTACAGTTTTCAGCCACCACTGGGGACCCATCAGTGTTATAGCTGCAATAATTTTGGCATGCAGGACTCCAAGTGCCCAGTCCTAGGGTAATAAAAACCGTTTAACACATTTTTGTGGTTTCTAACAATAAACCTAGCAGAGGGACTGTATATTTTTCTTACATTGTGTACATAATTTCACCTCAAAACAGAAATTCTACAGGATGGCTAACAGCTCTAGAGAAGATTAACATGTACTGGAAAATCCAGGGAATGTTAAGTTTAATATTCTTATCAAAAATCATTCCTGTGTCTTTTGGAAGTCTACATCATTAACGAAGACCTCAATAAACAAATAAAACAAATGCCAAGATTTCCTTTCATCAAACCATCCTTGGGCTGATTGATTGGTTCTGAGCTGATTTGTCAAAATAAGACTGCAGAGCAAGGTTTTGCCTAAAAGAGCTGCCTGGAGCTCATCAATAGCTTGAGCTGGAAGCATCTGTGCCATCCTCCAGCCAAGCGAGTCCCACAGTCCCCAGTGCTGTCCACCCCAGTCTCCCTGCACACCAAGCTCCTCTCCCGGCCTTGCCTGGGGGCTGCCAGCCAGCTCTATGCAAGCTCCCAGTGGTGCCACACCTCCACTCCACCAGCTCATCTCTATATGAGAGTGAGACCATGAAGTAGATGTCCTTGCTTACAACCACAGTCCTCAGCACACACACAAAGCACTTCATAACCTGGTCTGTTTAATCCTTTAGAAATGCTATATATGTATTAAAAATTACACATGTAACATTAAGACCTATTCTCATATAAAACTGAAACACTTACGAGAAGGCTGGAGTCTCCTGTCTCAGCTACCTCAAATTCTTACCCTTTCCAGCAACACCGTTTGGTACAGACCTCCACATCTCCCCCAAGCCTCTATCCCCATGTAAACATCTGTGTCCCACAGAAAACTTTCATCATGTTTATATACACTTTGCTCATGTCATTTCTTCTCCTTGTCCACTACCTGGAGACCAATGTTCCAATTTACTGGTCTGAGTTAACAGTCTGCTAGGTATCTTCTTCAAATGAGGTCAAAGTTGATATATGGATCTACACACCAAATTCTAACACATCCTCAATCATCAGCGTTCATCCTGCCAGGTGAATGAATGAATGACCTTCTGTTTAGGTACAGAAACCTTGTTTTTGTCCCCTTTACCTCAACTATCTATAAATTCTTTTGCAACTTATAGCTTTTGGAAGATGGAAAAGTCTGATGGCAGTATGATTTATTTTCAGCTTATGGGATTTCTCTTAGAAATCTTACCAACATATGCCCAAGCACATGTTTTTCTCCTTGATCTCAAATCTCACTGAATCTGGGGCGCCCTTTCAACCTACACAATCAGGTCTTTCTTCAATCCAGCCAAGTTTCTCTCCTGGTCGTGTCTCACTGCTGTTTCACATTTTTCTCTTCTAGGACCCCCGTTATTGGTAGATTAAGATTCCTGGATGTACTTTTTTTTTTTTTTTTTTGGTACTGGGGATTGAACTCGGGTCCTTGCACTTGTACAGCAGGCGGCAAAACCACTGAACTAAATCCCTGGCTCCTGGATGTACTTTTCCCCCAACAAGTAAGACACTTTTCCAAGACACTTAGCTTCCTCTCATTTTTCTTCTTCTTCAGTTTTGCTCTGTGCTTTGTGCTGACCTTCCAAGCTTCCGATCTGTGCCTTGGTGGTAAGCTGTCCTTGTCTTTATTCATCCACTGAATTTCTTGGAACCCATGCTATATGGCTGCACAGTGTGTTCTGCTGTGTATGAGCATGCACACATGGTCTCAGCTTCCCGAGTACGTTCTTCTCTCAGAGGCTCGTAGCTCTTCAAGTCATTCTGTTACTACTTGAGGCATGTCTTACTCTGCCTGATCTATCTTTCTGTGGCTACTCAGCTATTCTTTGTCAAAGCATTTGTCATTTTCCCCTGTAACCTAAAAGAGGGTCAAGTTCTGATTGAGACTATCAGTCTTTTACCTCTTCAGATCTTCAGGACAGCAAGCCAAACAGTCCTCCTCTGAGAACCATGGGAAAAGCCACTGCTTTTTCTGGACCCTTTGAGGCTCACAGGCAGGGATGTCTATACACACCATTCGGTCTTCTCTTGGCCTTTTGGGAGTCCAGGTGGCCCCAAAGTAAGGTTAATGTTTACCCAAGTCGTCCCCAGATTGCTGAGGTTCAAACAGCAGTCCTTAAGCAGGATAGGATAAACCACATTAGTCCTTCAGCTAGAATTCTAAACAAGCCAAACTGTCCATAGACCTGCAAACACTTTAGGATCAGGAAAGTGCTTCTCTTCCACAACTTCAAAGTGTCTTGCAGAAAATTAAGTATACCATGCTGTATGCGTCCAATATACCTTGCACTTTTCCCTTCCTCATAAACACATGTGAGAGCCATCCATTTCAAAGCAACCCTACTGCATTCTTTTCAACTGCTGCGCTGAACTTCAAGGGAAGCCGTGCCACATCTTATTCAGACATTCTTTATGGATGGGCATCTGAGTTGCTTCTCATTTTTCTGCCATCAGAAAGAATGCTGTATGAGCAGAAGCAGACTGGCTTGTGTATCCTGCATGCACACAGATGTCCCTCTGCAGTGGAATCTGATAAGTCAAACTGCTGGGTCAAAGTATATGAACATTTTAAAAATGTAATGACATCAAAGAATTCTCCAAGGTAATGATGACTTCCTAGGCAGTCTTAGGTAGGGTCAAGACCACCAAAAACACATGTGACTGAACAAGCTGCATCTGTTACTCTGCAGAGCAAGGAAGGACACACATGCAGGGGGAACTCAGAGCCCTCAGAGAGGATTAGGAAGAGCTTCTTAGAGGGTTTCAGGTTGAGTTAAGAACTTAGGGGAGGATTTAAGGAAGGAGGACTTTGCTCTGTGTCACTCTACTAGAATGCAGAGTAATCTATGACTGATTATGTCAATAACTATCTAGAAAAAGGTAAACTTCAAGGTAATGAAGCAGCACTCAATCGTGTTAGGGTGAGCGGGTGTTTATCATGTTGTGATTTTGTTAAAGTTCATGTGCTGTCTGTTTAGACAGGATTACAGAAGGTGGTCTTGTCTTTGTGCCCCTCTAATACCAAGCGGCCTTTCATGACACTGATGTTCTGTGAAAACATTTGTATCCCACAGGAGCTCCCTGACCAGCTGATGGTGGCAGGACAGCTCCTCAGTGCCGAGAGGCGCTCTGCTCTTCGTTGGTGCTACTCACCGTCTAACCTGAGGAGACGCTGATACATGTGCCTCATCTGTGGTGCTACAGCCAATGACTGCGTTAGTGCAGGAGCTGCCTGGCCCTTTCACAACTGATGCTACGTTGTAAAGTGGCACTTTGCCACCAGGCAAATAACCACTTCTCTATTGTACTAGTGTCAAAAGACGCCCCCAAATTCTTCTCCAGTCAAGCACTAGGGGCTGTAGAGTCCTTTCCCTTAAATCTGGGTCAACCTTTGTGACTTGCTTTTATCCACCAGGACAGAGGAATACGTGTTGCTGCAGACTCCTGAGGTGAGTCAGCAAAGGCCATGTAAGTTCTATCTTGTTTATAGGGACACTCATTTCCCCAAACTGCAATACAAGAAAACCAGCCACTGGATGGTCCAGAAGCCATGGAGAGGCACATCTAGGGTCCCCAGCTGACAGCCCTCGGTGGGTGCCACACAACTGAGCACCATCCCCCATGAAAGGAGACCATCTCCCCATGACTCTGGCCTCAGCAGGTAAATCACTCTGTCACAGACCCTCCCAGGGAAGGCCCAGATACAGACCTGAGACAAACTGACCATCCCTCTCTTAATTTCTGACCCACACACTCTGGGGACAAAATAAAATGAATGGCCATTTTAAGCCAAGGCATTAAGTGGGTAACTTGTTAAATAGCAACAGTAACTGAAGATCCATCAACCTTTGATCTCATGGGTTCAAATCCACTGACAATCCTTGCTGGAATTGTTTTTCAAGTATTACAAAATAGTGGTTTCCTAATTCTGTTAATCCCTCTACCTTTACTAACTGGTATTAGTCTATTTTAAATATAGTTTTAAAAATCACTAATGCCATTTGACCACCCTGAAATATAGCACTTAATGAAAGCCCTAAGATGTGTTTAGTTACCTAAGAAGGGGATTACTTAAACAATTTTACAAGTCTTCTTAGAATAGAACAAATTAAGGAGTCTTTCTAAATCAACTACTAAAATCACTTGGAATAATAAGGACTTGTTTCTGACTCCAAATAATTAATAAAACAGCATCAGTGACAGATGTGCATTTACCTGCCATGGATAAAAAAGAGGTGTCTGATCCAAAGGAACCCTCAGGGGAGCAACAATAACCAGCTCAAACAAGAGCCCCAGAAGGAGCGGGACAACCCCAGCCAGCAGCACTGCCACAATCAAAGTCTTCATTATCTACAAGGAAACAAGAGGCCACGTTGTTACAGGGGATCGTCCTGACGGTCAGACACACTCTTCTTTCTATGGTTTACTTTTCCGCCTGGACCTGATGCCTAACAGTACTACATTATTTCAAATAACTTACATCTTTCTGTACTGCATGTTTAAATAAAATGTCTTGAATATGTAACTGTAAGAGCTTAAACTATACCAAGTACCCGAAATTTCTATGAACTGTCACTGCAAAAAAAGATTACAGAACATTCATTTTACTCTATGTTATCCAAGTGGCTGTGTTTTCCTCATAAGTCCACTCTCAGGATTAGACTGCTGTTGGTAAGAGAACCACTGATGGGCTGAGACCCTGATCCAAGGGTGTCTACATCATGGGCGGACCTGCAGCTCTGAGGTGGAAGGGCTCTGCATAACCCTAAAGTAATCAGTAACCCTGACCAGACCGGCTGCCTTTAGACCAAACAGCCTGGTTCAACAGAACTTACTATGATAACGGAAACCTCCTGTATCGGCTTGTACAACACAGTGGCCATTTAGCTACAGTGGCCATTTAGCAACAGTGGCTTATGCACGAGACAGAGCAGCTCTAGAATTCAGACTACATGGCAAAGGGGAAGAAAGCTGACACTGAGAAAGAGCAGTCTGTAATGTGGCTTGGGGGCCAATGACCCCGAATTTAGTTAGGGCGGCCTCAGGAGTCCCTCTGTGTCAACAAGTGACCAGAGGCAGTGTGCAGAGGACACAACACTTAGTTCCTTGCATGGCCACTTGGAGTTGTAAGGAAGAATATCAAAGGAAAGCTGGAATTAGCTGGTTTCTGTATTTTAAATATACTTAAGTGTCTCACAATCTTACCGGTTAAATATCAACTGAACCCCACCACTGATAATTTATAATGTATATCACTATAAAAGTGGATTTTATTAACACATAATCGTTACACATAGAAGGAAACATGAACTACCCTGATTTCACTGTTACACTGTAGTCATGTATCAAAGTATCACATGGTATTCATAAATCTGTACAATACCTAGAAACTAAAATCCAAAAAGTAAACATATTAAAAGGTAGGTTTCCCCAGGGATGTAGCTCAGTGGTGCTGGCGCCTGCCTCGAAAGCACAAGGTCCTGAGTTCGATCCCTGGTATCCAAAAAATAAAAGGTAGGTTTCATATTTTTCATCTAATATTAATATTAATTGGATAACCTTTAAGTGAAATAAAAATGTAATTTCAGACATAAAATTAGAGGTGATTATACAAATGAAAAGGCGTGAACAATGACCCAAACACGCTCTCCTAGAAACACTGGCATAATGAGAAGTTAAAGGAATGCCGGAAGGACACTCACTACTACAATCAGACAACTCAGTACCTACCATGAGAGCCCACTCTTTCACCTTCTGGAAGATCACTCTGCGCCCCTGGGGCATCCACGCCACCAGCACTGTCACGGCCCGTATGGTGAGCCAGCACACATAGAGACCACAAGCAGCCGTGTAGAGCTCGTGGATCTTGGCAGTGCCCGTCCAGAATGACATTAGCCACCGGCCAGCAAATACTGCAAACAGAAAGGCTGGTGAGCTGTGTGGCTAGGTGAAGCGAATGTAACGCTGATGTTCTAAGCATGGTCTCACAGTACTAAAACAAAACAAAAAAACACTTTTTTTTTTGGTGGGGGGGACAGGGTCTCTCTATGTAGTTCAGGCTGGCCTTGAACTCACTATGCATCCCAGGCTGGCCTCGTACTCATGGCAATCCTCCTTCCTGCCTCAGCCTCCCAAGTACTGGGATTACGGGCATGCACCACCATGCCTAGCAAAAAAACACTCTTTAGAGTGTACAATTATTTCATTAATTGTGCACAACCTCACACCAGAAGCACTCAGCAGGGACAAACCCTCTGGGGATGTGAATTCTGATATCTTACAATTACTGGGTCTTTCCAGCCGGAAAAGCCTTGAGGGAATTGTTGTTCACAGTTTTTACCATCAATGGAAATAATTATGAACATATGGGATAAAGGTAGGAAATGTCTTTCCCATTATTTGTGCTGTCAACATTTTCACCATTTAGGAAGATTACAATTAACATAGAGTAATTTTCCCAAATGGCTCACTCATCAATACAGAAAACTAAGCTAATTTTAATAGAACAGGTACATTTTCAATCACAATAATCAAAGAATGCCAAAAGAACTGAGAAAAAATTAAGACCATCTAAATATATTAGACTGTAAGACACAGATTGAGAGCTGCCTAAGAATTGTTAGAAATTCTGCAGTGTATCTAGATAATCTCTTAGGCAAGATCATTTATTTTAGTAATTTCTTTACCTGATTATTTCTCAATAAAGTTAGAAAGAACAAGAGTCAAATTTCTAGTGTATTTTGCCCTATAAATTGCCTTCCTAATGTGGTCGTGTCATTTCTGAATACCTAAAAAGGCTGGAGACTGTACTATTTTTCATACACTCTCTCACCACCCCCTAAGCACCATCACCCAATGCAAACACATCCTCCACTTTAAAGATTAAGGAACTGGCCTCGGCAGCAGAACCTTGCCTGACCCAAAGAGAGCACAGCTGGGTCTGAAGACATCTGTGTAACAGGCCTTGCTCTTCACCATGGAGCTATCAACTCAACTAGCTTCACAGTCAAACCTCAGCAACCAGGAAGTAGAGGACCACACACTTCCTGCAAACTCACAAAACTGAGTGTGAAATAACTTTTTTTTCCCTTGTGGTTGTGGGGACTAAGCTCAGGAACTTAAGACACACTAGACAAGTGCTCTACCACTGAGCTACATTCCTAGTCCTTGTTAAGACAAGTCCAGCCTGGCCCTGAACTTGCAATCGTCCTGGCCATAGCCTCCTGAGGAGCTAGGATCAGAGGCATATACCACTGTGTCCAGCTGAAAATAATTCTGTTAAAGCGGGGGTGCAGCTCAGTGAGAGTGCTTGTCTGGCAGGTACAGGCCCTGGGTTTTTGATCCCCGGCCCTGCAAAAAAAAAATGATCAAAGAAATATAAAGTCAAATACATGTAAAATGTCACATGAAAAAGCCTATGTGCACATTAATTTGAAGATATCAAAGTAATCACTGACAATGCTGTAGAAATGTCTAGTGCTCTACATGTATTTCTACCCCAGGGTTTGTCTTTTTTGGATTTGGGATTTATTACAAAATTTAATAGTCATTTTCTATTCTATATTTCACACATTTTTCATCAAAAAAATGGGGTTTTTGTTGTTGTTGTTGTTGTTGTTTTGGTACCAGGGGTTGAACTCAGGACCTTGCATTTTCGAGGCAGGTGGTGGCACCACTGAGCTAAATCCCTGGCCCAAAAAAATGGTTTTGAGAAAACAGAATTCATGTTCAGCTTGTAATAACTTTACATCAATTAATTTATAGCTACAGAAGAGTAACCTACGGGGCGGGGGGGGAGTCCTCACCACTCCCAAATGTACACTATCCATCTAAAGTAAGCATTTCTACAATGACAAATTACCCTTTCCACTACATGGCAGAGCCAGATTAAAGGGAAATACTGAGTTAACACTGTTAAGAAGCTAAATTATTCTTACAATCAAATTCAAGTATGAAAACTAGATTTCCTTCTTCTGTTAAACTTTAAAAAATATTTTTGGCAAAGACATGAAAATGGAGCATAAAAGCACAAATGTAAAACTGCCCCAAGTTCAAATCCTAAGTATTTTCAGCACTGTTTTCTACACTGCACTCAATCAAGTAGGCTTCTGGCATTTTAACAGCTCTGATCTGAGCAGCAGTGAGCTTAAATGCAAGGTCTTAAGGTCAACAGTCATTACGCAGAAGCAGTAAAATAAGAACATACTTTTATCAGTTAAAGGTAAAAATCAATTCCTTCAAACTAAAAACAAAGTTTTGTTTTGTTTAGAAACTTGACATTAATTTTCCTATCTGCTTTTCCCAGCCTTAGACCTCATGGGAAAAAAAATTTAATACAAATTTGATTTATTATAAAATTATACTGAGTCAGTGTTACAACCAAGATAATCAGTATCTACTTAGGTCTGATAGAGCTGGAAATTAGCTTAATGATTACTTAAGCAGTTAATGCCTATCAGCATGATTTAGGAATTTCTGACTGGATATAAATAGTAAGTAGAAGGGACATGCTGTTTTGTGACCTTGTCATTTATCTTTGACCTCTGGACATGACAAGCTACTAGCACAGTTAACTGCAGTTATGTTATCTGTTAGATGAAGAAATGCTGATAATTAAAATTTCCAACAAACTTAAGGCTAGAAGAAAATGAGTATTTGTGAGTAGCAGGCGATAAAGGGAAACAGTATGGCTTCACAGTGTTTTCTATGAGTAGTATGAATGGATTGGAAAGCAACACCATTAACATTAAAAGACTGATTTGAAAAAAATTACTTGAGTCATATAATGACTTTTTCTTTGGTAAGGAGTATCGAACTTGGGACCTTGCGCTTGCGAGGCAGGCGGCAGAATCATACAACGCCTTTGAAAATCCATACTGTGAAACGCCCAAGAAAACTGAGTGATCATGGGTACTTTACTTCTAACAGGGAAACATGAGTATCTTAACAGCCATCCCCTGTGCTCCAGCATAAGGGAGTCCAGTAAGATGAAGAGTCCATCAATCAGCATCCCATTTCAACTGAAGATTGTATTAGTGAAAACAAAACAAAGTTTTCAAGTTTGTATCAGTGAAAACAAACCACATCTTTGCAAGACAGGACTTTTAGGGTCTGTTTGGGTTTTTTTTGGTACCAGGGATTGAACTCAGGACCCTGTGCTTGTGAGGCAGGCAGCAGAACCACTGAGCTAAATCCCCGGCCCAAGACAGGACTTTTAAAACATCTTGGCATCCATGGCTACAGACCAGGGCAAGCTCCTACCTGGTAAGGTAAGGCAGATGAGGCTGGCGATCAGCAACGTCACGCACATGAGGACAATCAACACCAGAATCTAGGAGGCAAACAGATGGCCCGCATGGAAGCTCTGGGCATCTCAGGATGCCACACTCTCCAGAGTCTTCACAGTTCTCCCACTAAAAAGACTGCCTGAGTCTGTACTTCCAGGTTTTCTTGATTTCACATAAAAGGGGGAAGTTTTTCAATTTTTTTTTTAAAGACGGACAGAACCCTGCTACACTGTCCAGGCTGGCCTTGAACTCCAGGCTCAAGTAGTTTTTCCTGACTCAGCCTCCCCAGTATCCAGGATTATAGTACCATAGCACTAAGCAAACAAAAGGAACTCTTTATTTTGGTAAAATTACCTACAATCAAACCCCAAAATAAAACAAGTGTCCATTTTCATACATTCAGATACATCCACAAGTAAAAAAGCAAACACTTTGCAATCAAAGCGCATAAAAATAAAACATAACCTCCCTAAGTTTTCCCTTGCTATTAGTAAAAAAAAATGTTACAAATTTCAAGTAGTCACCTTTTTAGCACACAACAGTGCTTATCCAGTTAGAATGCTCTGTGGTAACAGAAATGTCTCTATGCCATCTGACACAGTAACCTCTGGTCACATGCAGCTGTTGGGCACTTAACATGTGGCTGGTGTGAACAGAACTTTACATTTTATTTCACTGTAATTAAACCTAAATGTACATAGCTGCAGATAGCTAGAAGTTGTGGATGCTGGCAATGCCCGTCCAGAATGACATTAACCACTGGCCAGCGAATACAGCAAACAGAAAGGCTGGTGAGCTGTATGGCGAGGTGAAGAGCTCTGCAACACCGATGTTCTAAGCGTGGTCTCACAAAACCAATGCTAAGAGTACTAATGCCAACAGGAATCTGAACAAACTCCTCCAGGCGAGGTCTGGCACAGTACCTACCCTGAGTGGGAAGTTTAAAGGCCGGCGGTAAGGCTGAAAGCCAACAGGACCTCCCTGCTGGAGGATGGCTTGGTGGGCTGCATGCAGGCCTTCACCCACCACAGGAATAGCGTTGTTATTTCGAGCATGCTGGTTATTGTTCACTTGTTGATTCGCACTGTTCTCATTTTCTTCCTGGTCTCCCAGTAAATAGGAATGAAGATCCCTGTGCAAAAATCGTATCAGTGAAAAGTCTCATTTCAGCTCAGAACAAAATGGCAGATATGAAACTTTCTTTTCCTAATGTTTATGATGAAGGGTGGCAGATGTCCATGTAGAATCCGAACACGGCCTTACTTCTGGTCTCAGTGCTGCTGCCTACTCTGAAGTAACCCTTCCTAAACTTACTTTCACTCAACTGTGGGAGAGCCTACAAACTCAACCTATTTCATGTTTTCTTCAGCCAATTTCTTCAGGGAAGAAATCAGTAACTTTAAAAGCTCATTTATCAGGTTAGGGTCTCTTAAAAGGTAAGCTACTTTGTTTGTAATGCACTAAAATATTTTTTGCCCTGTGTAATGGTATAAAAAAAGCTTGGTATACAGCAAATCTGAATAAGAGGGTAAAAATATGCAAAAATTTTCATGAAAGAATGGACAATGATAAAAGTAAGAAAAATTTAAAATTTTAAAGAATATTATATATACTTGTACATATTACTAAATTATCACTGACTGAAACGAATTTTTCATGAGCAAAGAGGCATGGGAATACTTTGTCCAGAAGGTTCTGAAGGGACAAAATGACGCAAGTGCTCAGGGAGCAGGCTGGCCATACTCACAGCAAGTGCCCTGCAGTGACGGTCCACGCACGCACGAGCCCCTTCAGCCACTGCCTCGTGTGTCCCTGCTCCAGTAATGCTGGCAAGACGACCTGAAGCAGAAGCAGCTCAAGGGACAGTTCACTCACTGGAGCATCACTGAGATGATGACAAAGGGCCATGATTTAAAGGGAGAATTCTCTTTTCCATTACAACTATCTTAAATACTAATGGAATTAAAGTGTCAAACGAACTCATTGTCTTTATCCCTCCTCCCGTTCCCTCTCAAAGCCAGTGAGGGTTTCCTCCTGGATGCTACTGAACTGTCCGTGCCAGTGCCTTCCATTACTAAAGCAATGGTCAGGCCCTGGTTTACACTCTGCTGTACTAGCAGCAGGCTATGCCACTACAGCCACTTTCTCCACACAACTTCTCCTCCCTGAACAGCCGGAAGACCCGCTCATTCTCCTCTGCCTCCTCAACCTGGCAAGGCCACACTGCACTGTCCTCTCCTCTCCTGGGGCAAACGTGCACATGTGTGACTTGAAATACTAGCTTTCTGAACATTCCCATCCAGCACCATGCATGCTGCAATAATGGAAATAACCCTCATCTGCAGAGTGATCTGTTCTAGTTGGGGGAAAATAACACTGTCATCTGGATGTTGAAAGAAACTATCAAAAGCTTGCCAGGCAAACAAGGAGAGGTGGTCACTGAAAACTGGGGAAGAGCGGCAAGGCAATTCTGATAGATTCAACAGCAGCTAACCACGCCAGAGGGGAAACCCCAAAGTCACGCTATCGCTGGCGGAACAGGCTAGAATGGACCTGAGAGTATGCCATGCTCTGGATGTCATTCTAACCGACCTGGGTATTGTTGTGGACATTATGGAACAACTGCTGACACTTTGTTTTTCTTTTTTTGAGAGGTGGTCTCACTATGGTCTCAACTCCCTGGCTCAAGTTACCCTCCAACCTCAGCCTCATGCGTGCTTGGACTAGAGGCCTATACCACCAGGCCCAGTTGCTGACAACTTTTAAACAGGGGTGATACAATCAAATTTCTAGAAATCTAGAGGCAGCATTGTGGAGGATTATAAATGCAGAGAAAAGGGAAGGCCCAAACTAAGGAGGTAGTAACTCAAATGGGATTAGTAAAAGATGTGGGCAATTAGAACTGACAAGTACCAAAGACATAACAGGCTGAGAATATAGCTCGGTAAAGCACTTGCCTAGATGTGTGAGCCCCAAGTGCAATCCCCAGTACCGGGGGAAAAAAGACTCAAAAGAAGTAAATTTGAGGAAGCAATTCAATTTGCCTGCATTTGGGATAGTGGCTGTGGAATAATGCAAATCACTAATAGAGAGAACATGGGAAGAAGAGCTGAGATTAGGTTTCTAAATAAATTAAAAATTTAAACCAAAATAACTTTTTCCATCTGTAACCCTTACATCCTAATTTTAATCCATAATTAAATGTATACCTTTGGCTCATTTCTTATAATGTGGTTTTCAAAATAAAGATGATGTTACTATTACTAACACATTCTTACAAGAAATGCTAAAGCATTTCAATGTGAAAAAATGTGTACTTTACAGAAAAACAAAGACTTCCTTTGGAAAATATACTCAACAATGTTTATGAGCTAGAAGATGATAAAATGTTAACTGTCAGAGGATTTCTAATACCTGCAGAAGTGAATGTTTTAAATGTCTAACGTACCCTGAACAACTTTTAAACTATATAGTCTCAACTTTATAGCTTACCTATAAAGCATGACATTATAGGGGAGAAAATGCGGCAGCAGACTCTTGATTATCCGTATCGGGAGCCAAAGCATCAGAAGGACGATGGAGCCAAAGACGATCTGCAGGGAGAAGCCAAAGACGATGCCACTTCGAGAGCCATCACTCATTCTCAGCCTGCTCTCAGCCCAGCCCCGTGCCCACCACAGCCCAAGTGGCCTCCCCTGCCCTCCTCCTTGGGCCACTCTGTGCAAAAATCACATCCCTAAGACGGCTGCTCCCGACCAAAAAGCTCTCCCTTCTCTAGGCCATAAGGGCGAAGAGAGGAGCCACAAAGGAGAAGCGCCGCATGGTGTGAGAGAGAAGATCGAAGAACTCACCATGCAGGAACAGAACCACCTACAACCAGATAACCCTCCTGCAGCCATTAAGACGTGACCTGAGTTATGTCTATGAAAGTTACCAAAGCACACAATACTGCATTTGGGATTTCATTTTGGAAAAATTTGGATTTAACCACATTAATTCTTTCTCCAATGGGGAAGAAATTTTGAGATGCTTCTATTAAGAGTTTAATTTTAATTTTTATTTTTGTACCGGGGATTGAACTTGGGTCCTTGCGCTTGCGCAGCAGGCGGCAAAACCACTGAGCTAAATCCCCAGCCCTTAAGAGCTTAATTTAAAAGCCAGTTAACAAGTCTTTAAAAAAAAACAAAACAATGGAAACACCTGCTTACCACTGACAAAATAAATCTTCGAAGATGCCTATAAATGGGCAAGTGGATCATTTCCTGTACTGGGTTAAAATCTGGATCATTCAAATTCCTTAGAAACCATAAGACACCAGGCCGAAGTACCTGCAAATATATTTTAAAAGTTATAAATATTCACCAATGTCTTCAGGCTCTGTATATAAGCTCCTGAAAAAGTATTTTGCCATCTCAAATAGGCCCCAGAAAATTCATATGGTTTTCATGGAAAAAGAAATTCCTAAACCACAACCTGTATGAAGTTTATTCTGGTTTTGATGGCATTTGATGCTTTTAATCATTCACTGGCAAAAACACTCAGTCCAACTGGTCAATAAACCTAGGTGTCTGCGATGAAAATTAAATAAAATCATTAGTACATACTATATTATATCACCTGGTGAAAGGATAATGTTGCAACTTATAAATGTCCTAACAGGAAATCTGGTTTCAGTTTTACACTTCCCCAGAGGTGCTGTCATAATGAAGAAACTCCACAGCCTTCCAGTATCTTCATTTTATTACCTGCATCTTCAGGTGAAGGGTAATGGGTGAGTCTGGACACTAGTATTGCCAGGTCCAAACTTGAGGGGTCACCATGTGTAAGCCCTCTAATCTGCCCAAACCTCTACTTTTCCCTCTCCCAAATGAGATAGTTACAACGTATGATATCTAGGGTTCTAAGTATGAGCATTCTGGACCAACAAAAACTCGCCACATTAATAAATTAAAGACTGTAAAATGTTTTAGAGTTCACATATAATTACAGCTTTTAAAAATCCATCACTGTACTTGCTTAATCTGAAATCATTTATTTCAAAAACAGAATGGGCCGGGGATTTAGCTCAGTGGTTCCGCCACCTGCCTTGCAAGGGCAAGATCCTGAGTTCGATCCCCAGTACCAAAAAAAACACAAAAAAACCCAGCATGAGATCTTATGCTATGTGATTCAGAAAGTTTTGGCCCCACCTCTTTCTCTCCTCAAATCTTTCAAAGAGCACAGCACACCAAGAACCATGCTCAGCCCTGCGGTTCTGTGTTCCTCGCCCCTGGATTCCCCGACCTGCTCCTCCTAGCCCTCATCTCTCGGTCCTCAGTCTCAGCAGAGCAGCTGAACTTGTCTGATGGCTATACTCACAGGGATGGTGCCTGTGTTTCTATTTTCCAGTATCCAGTGGAGTCTGGCACTGAGTCTGAGATACATTTTTATTCATTAAATACTAATCTGCTTCATCTTCAATTTAATAAGGACCAGATTCTGAGAATAGGATTAGTGAAGGTGCCCATCTGGCAAATGAGCTGGAATCATAAAGACATGCATTTCTGAGCCTGATGCCTCCCTCAAAAACATTTTATACATTGAATTCTACAAAACTGTATCTTTTGGGGTTTTTTCCCAGCATTACAGTTCCTAGAATGAAGTCTGAAACAGACTCATATACAAAATTCCAAGAGTTTATTTTAGAAGATGGGAATGAGACATACCAAATAAAGCAAGTACTCACACTTTCTTTCTCAGTGTAATCATATTTAAAACTCAGAATTTGTCGATTTTTGACACATACAACTAAAAACAGTTTAAAACAATCAATCCAAATTCCTCTATCAGTTATTCCTTCTCAGAACAAAAAGAATACAGTTTAATGAGGAAATCATTCCAGCCTCTGAGGCACACCGGTGGTTTAACAAAAGTCCTTTTCAAAAACGCACAGCATGGCCGGGGATTTAGCTCAGTGGTTTTGCCACCTGCTGTGCAAGCGCAAGGACCCGAGTTCGATCCCCGGTACCAAAAAAAAAAAAAAAAAAAGTGCAGCATCAGCATTTCCCAGAGTACTTACCTCTCTGAGCAACAGAATGAAGGAGGCGAAGTAGAACACATACACCATCCCCACCAGCCAGTGCAGAAACATGGTAGTGCCTGGAGCTGACTGGAAGCTCAGTTCTCGATCTTTCAGAGTAGCATCAAACATTTCCTAAGCCAAAACAGGACAGGTGAGAGACCTGAACTACCTGCATTTTTTGCCAAATGAACATTTCCACCTGCTAAGAAGTGAATAACTCATTATGTACAGAAGGTATGATGTTCGAGGCCTGCAATTCTCTTAACGCTATTTCAGCGTCACAGAACCACATGATGTAAGACCAGATACTATTCCAAAAATGTACGTTTTACATTTTTCAAACATAAGGAACGATAAGCCAATTGGGGAATAAAAATTTTACGAATACTATTTTACAATAAAAGAACCATTTTGATTGAAGATCTTATTTTGTTGGTTAGGATAATGAATGTTCAACTTACCAGGGAACAGATATCCAACCACCAGCCACAAATGAGAGGGAACACTCCGATTTCTACCACCACTAGCAAAGAGACCTTAAGTAAAAATAAAGATCATCAGTATCACCCAAATGTAGGCGACATTGTCTCTAGTTTTGTTAACTTATAATAGAATTACCTTAACAACAATATAGCAGACTCCCAGTAAGCGACGAGATCTATGAAATTTAACAAGAGTCGCCAGGCCCTACACATCTAGTTAAGGAAAAAGTGAACATTTGAGGGTGCAGGGAAGAAGGTAACTAATCAGATTACATTTCTGACAGAAGGTAACTAATCAGATTACATTTCTGACAGACTTTATTTCACATTTTGTCTACACTCACCCTTAGGATTCACCCTAAGAGGACAAGGAGAAAGAAAATAACTTTGTTATTAATGACAACCACACTTTGGAATGAATATTACTGTTCAGTCAAGTTAATTCATTAAAGGATACATGACAAATTATCAGTGTTATTGCTAAAAGTATATACCCAACTATGGTTGTGATTAGGCCTTCAAAATGAGATGCTTGGACCTAAAAAATAAAACATAACAAAACAAAAGTTTACTCAGTACATGGCCTATACCCTAGTTTTATGACTGTACTAAGCAATCCAAATGACTAAACTTGAACCATGCAGGCAACATAAAGCTAGGCAACATAGAACTAGATGACACCTCTGCAGACTGGACTTTCCCATACACAGACTGCATTTATCAGTAACGGATGGAGAAAACATAAAGAAGAACACTTCCCCAAGGAGCCAAACAGCAGAGCGAATGGACTGAGACAAAAGCAGAACCCTATAAAGCAAGCTGGCCTTCTAGTCTGGCTGTAAGGCAGCCTGCTCCGGCCCACAGCCACCGGGTACTGGGTCAACTACATCATTCCCCACCTGTTTAACTTACTCCTGCATTCAAAATCAATTCCTCTTACAGAGGATAAACATTTGGAGAGGACAAACACTGCCATCTGTATGTTTGGCTCCCGAGTTGCAGAGATTAAGTGGCAATTACTTACCAAGGCATTTCTGTGAAACTTTCAAGCTCTTGCTGGCAACTAGCAAGAATCAAAGGGCTCTGCTAATAGTGGATTGTTGGGAGCCTTGCTACATAATTCTAGGGAAAAATCATTTGAGTAGGCCTAGTTCTCCCGCCTACAGGCCAGCTATGGCATTCCAGACATAATTGCATTTTGGCCTCGGGTCACAACTGAGACCTCAAGGATCCCGAGATGCTGTAATCTCCAAGACAAGACCACACCTTTGGGAGACACCCTGGGAGGAACCAAATCTTCATCTGCATAGTTCCTCATTGTTCTTAGATTCCCCCCCCCCCAGTCTTTTGTTACACCTTGTTTATCCCAATGTGAAGTACTGAACTCTGCATTTCTCTTGTTACATGTTTCCCCCTGTACTGAATAAAAGGTGCTGCAAGCTAGGGGGTCTTTGTCTTTGCTGCCCAGATCGGCAAGGATGAGACCCAAAGCTCAGCTTCTTCTCAGTCTCATTCGTCTACCTTTCCTGTAATTCCCGTGTGCTGCCATGGCTCGAAGGAGACTAGGACTTACTGCAGAGGTTCTGGTAACGTCCCCTTCCCGTTCCCTACAGTGGATGCTTCTGAATATGCTCTCAGGGCGCGCATAAACAAAGTGATCACAAGATCCCAGACAGGCAGCTCTTCCTAAAAGACTTAAGTCTTTCTAGAGCCCCCAGAAAGGAGTTTTAATACATATAAACACCTACCTCTAGAAAAGAATGATAACATGTCAACATTTAAGCAAATTCTTTTAAAAACATGTAGCTATCACTCCAAGACAGCCTATTCCTTTTTTAAAAAATCACCAACACACTGTTCCTTTTCTATATTCACTAAGGGTCACCTGGGGACGGGAAAGAAGGGAACACTCAAGTTCACAAAGTGGGTGGAAAGTCAGCCTGTGGGAAGGAAACTCCTTCAGGCTACCTCAGGCCCGCCCAGTAGGAGGAGAGTGCACTATGGGATTTCACAGCACATTTCTGTTAGCTGGCAATATGATCTATCTTGCTTTAGCAACCGTGAGCATCAGAAAAAAAGAACAAGATCACATTGGGTAACTATTCCTTTGTAGAGGGCAGATTGAGAAATGAATATTGTGAATTACTCAGAAAATATCAACTTCAAGGGTAATTAATCAAAATAAGTTTGTAAAAGTATTATACTCACATGTTCTTCAAATCCCAAACCAACAAGGGAGAAATGACCAATGTGGTAAGGGCAAAATGCTAAAAGGGAGGAAAAAAACTCAATAAAAACTGCAACATCAAAACAATGAACACTCTTCATACAACCTCCCACTAAGAGGAATCAGGGCTTCTTTGGGAAATGGAGGATTCCAGAACTGGGCCAGAAATGTACTGTACTTGGGACATTTTCTCTCAACAGAGAAATACAAAATTATCAAGGCATAACAGGTCTATGTCAAAAGTTCACCAAAACCAGTGTGAAGAGTGTCACCAGCCTCTCTAAGAGAGGACGACATGAGGGCTGGGGGGTAGCTGCTGTAGAGCAGCTGGGTGGACACTGACTGTGACATGGTGTACACAGCAAGTAACCTAAACTCACCAACTAATGGATGGCAAAACGGGGGGGTGGGGGGGCAAAGCCATGAGTATCCAGAGCGAAAGAAACTTAAGATTGACCTTAAAAATGTGTGGGCCTTATTTGGATCTTCATCCAAACAAAACAACTGTAAAATGTCATACAGGAGAAAACTTAGAAATTTAAAATATAATTCAGATAATTTAAATAAATTTTGAAATCTTATGAGATGTAAAGAATGGCATTATAATAAAATGCCCTTAAATTTTTCAGAATAATCATTTTTTTACTCTTTCTGCAAACCTTTCTTGCCAAGTTTTACTTTGTTCTTAATTAAATTTAATTAATTTTTATGGTAAAAGTAATTGAGTAGCATACTAAATTATTAAGGAAGGGGTAACTTAATCACTAAGACAAAAGGCAGAGTGGATGGATTTACTAGGGACTGGCCCACAAACCTGCACGGTATATTCCTTAAAGTTCCTGATTTACAAATAGAGCAAAAGCCTAAAACAAGACTCCTAGAAAGCTGAGCTTCTACTATAGTATCATAAATAAAACCACAAAAACACTTACCAAAAACAAGAATGAAGAGAGTATTTAAAGACACCACCCAGAAGACATGTTCCTAAAAGAAAGATCATTAATAAAACAGTTCATATTCGACGTGTTTAATTGACTACTCTATCATTTACTTATAGCTTAGGTGTTAAAAATAGCTATACTGAAATTTTCTCTGCCTAATTTTGAGATTACGTACTTTTCCTTTTTTACCAGATAGCTCATAAATCCAAGACTAATAAAAGTTCATAATGTTACACGTAGAAGAAACAAAGAAGTCAATTTATAAACATTTTCCTTTGTAGAAATACCCCATCACCCTGGGTAGGTTTTCATGAAGTCAAACAACGCTGAAAGACCCCAGTGGGGCAAACTTGGACATCGCCCCAACTGTGAGGAACACACGTGTGTAAACAGGACAGTGCTGCTTTCAGTGTGCATGTTGTTCTCACAGCTTCAGCAAGGTCACTACTGCCCTCTGGGAAACACTCCCTGGATGTTCTCTGGTCCCAAAGCTGCCTGGGACACCCTGGCTCTCTTTACTCCTGTGTCAGAAGCGCATCCTCCTCACCGGGCCATCTGCCCACCCCCCAGGCACGTCCAGGCTCCAGGCCACAATCCCCACACTGCCCATCAGACCAGCAGGCTGGATGACCCTTCCAGGGGTCAACGCAGTCACACTTTTCCGATCACTCTGCTCAGCTCCCCTCGTCTAACACAAGTCCTACTAGCAGGAAGGGTACTTAGTTTGCCTCAAGAAAAAAAATGACTACTTAACACAGTGCTTCAATTTTTTTCAGCTTCTCCGCCTTAAGAACTCCCAAACTCTCCCAATCTCCAGGATCTTCCCTGTCTTGACCTTTAAGTTACCTTCTCTTAATGTCTTGCTGACAAACTCCCTCCACTGAAGACCTGACCAAGGCCTCTTTGTAACCCTCACGTCCTGGGCACACGTTTGGCACTGAGTCTGTAACACACACCTCTCATCTTCCTGGTTCACATTTTCATTTCTCTCTACTAAATTAAAAACAATCTTTGAGAACAGGACCTCGTTTCACTCACTCACAACAACCCAGTAACTATATCAAACAGCCAGCACTCAGTAAATATTAAATGTGAAGCGATGAAGTCACTCTGCAAATGGTCTTTCCAATCTGAATGAGTTTTGGTCAACAACACTGCCTCAAAGACTTCTACAATTCATTTATGAGACACACAAATCCTCAGGGTTTGCAAACCTCATGAGTCTCACAAAATGAGCTAAGGGGATATAAATGAGTGTGTCACCAAATAACACCTTCTCTTCCGACTGTGATCAAACCCTGACTACAAGCTCACTGATAACTATATTCCCACTGAACTGGGAATGTCACCAGATACATTCTGCAAAGTCCTCACAATGCCAACTTCAACAGCCTCTCAGGCTCCCACCAGCAGCAGCTTGTGAAGAGTCCAGCACTGTGGACAGCGAGGAAGACAGAGGAGATTATTTGAGTCTGTGCTGCATCTCCAGCTCATGCAGCCCCCAAACTCATCCTTCCTCTGGGCTTCCTGCTATACTAGGGCTTCAGTCAGTGGGAACTGTTACTTGTAGCCATGCCTAAGCACTTTTAAAAGCCCAAATAGCAAGCAATTTTGTATTGCACAACCTGAAAATACCATTTCACCTTTAAAGAACAGGTTCTTAAAGTTATCGTATTTATTAATAAGGCACCATTCCTGGGTCAAGAGGGGTGGGCCAGTACACAGAAACCTGAGATCAGACTGCAGCTCTTACTGTGACATGCACGAAGCTGCTTTACTTACACTGCTACAGCTTTACACTGCAAGACTGAGCTTTAAAGATCAAGTTCTTTTAACTACCATTAACTTTGGGCTTTTCTTTAAAAAAATAATCAAATAGCTCATGATAAGTTTAAAATACTTTACCAAAATTTAATACATAAATACTTCCTTCGCATACAAAGTAATCAAAAGTAAGGGCATTTTGACCTTTAGTATACAAAGGAAACACTGAATCTAACATTATTGAATAATTAAGAAAACTACCTCCAGTTCTGTCATTAAAAATAACGAGTTCCCCCTGCCAGGTGTCTGCAGAGGCTGTGTTTCTGCCCCCTCCCAGGACAAGCACTTCTCCCAGCCCCCAACACTGCCAATGCGGGTGGCTGGGAACAGGACCCAGGGCCTGTGCAGACTTGATTCCCTGCTCCACCACAGACCTCCCCAGGCAGCCATGTCAGGCGGTGGGAAGGCAGCGCTGAGTGTCATCCACCGCTGTTGCCCCAGGCGTGGTGCCTGACTCCCTGCCTGAAGCACACCAGACTTTCGAGTTTCATCTGCAATGCCAGGAGCTTGGCCAAGACCCTCCAGGCTTCAGCAGAGGCACTGCTCCATCTAGGATGGGGCAATTCCAGGGCAAGTGGGACCACAGTTTGGGGCATGCAGTGGGCCACAAGAACATTTTAGCAGTCCCTACCAGTAGTGACCCCAGTGGTGGAACAACTGCAATCATGTCCTCCATGTACACTTTGCAAATGGCCCTGGAGGGGGACTGCTGCAGGCTATGGAGTATGGCTCTGCCCCTGGAGGTCACAGGACTTTTCCAGTCCTGACATTCCGGTGTGTAAGGAAAAGCCTAACGGCCACAAAGGAGGCTAGGGGAGCCCTGGTGTGCAGACCATGCTGATTTCCACGTGTCAGTAGCCCTCCCAGTGCAGCCATTTTCTAGAACGGCTCTGTGGAAAACTCCTTCACAAATCCCTAGACTCAACTTTCCCTTGTGCTTGCCAGCTGGTGGGAGCTGATGCCAGCAGACCACTCACTGCCTGGTGTCCTGTGCTTTTCTGTACTCTTTAAATGGTAATTTAAAAGGTATGCTGAATTGAAAATAATAGTAGTTAGTTTTACTTACAAGAAAAACTAGTGATCCATCAAGTCCTAGCATCTAAAAATAAATAACAAGAGGCATTAGTACAAGATGCAACATGATTTTCTACTCTCACAAAAAAGGCTTGTTTTCCTTTCAGTATCTGGTTTTATTTTTGGTGCAGGAAATTGAACCTAAGGCCTTATGCAAACTAGGCAAGCATTCTACCACTGAGCTACACCCTCAGGCCATCATTTTGATATCTTTAACCACAGTTTTAATCCACTACTTTCCAATATTATCATTTTCAGAGTGTAAAAAATTTCTGTTTATGGGGGTTTTATGTTTTGGGTCTGTGTGTGTGTATTCTGAGACAAGGTCTTGCTATGTAGTTCAGGCTGGTCTTGAAGGCAAAGATCTTCCTGTCTTACCATATTCAGCGAGGTCTCCTTTTTTGAGACTGAGCTTCATTCATTGCCAGGCTTGCCTCAAATTCCTGACTCCCTGCCCCAGCCCAGTCAGTTGGGAATACGGGCATGGACCAAGACTGGCTTGAATCTCTTTTTTTTTTGGTACCAGGGATCGAACTCGGGTCCTTGCGCTTGCGCAGCAGGCGGAAAAACCACTGAGCTAAATCCCTGGCCCCTGAGTCTCCTTTTATTCCAAATCACACGATTAACAAAGTCTTAATAAATTCCACCTTGGGTTTTAATGCTTATATTAAAGACCCAGTCAACAGAACTATTTTTTTTGTGAACTAAAGTGTGAAAATACTTCTTAAATTTAAATCATTATTTAGTTTTTCAAAGTCAATATTTTCAAGTGAAACACTACCTAAATGAAGCACAGTTTGTATTAAAGGCCAGACAACAGAAAAACAGCCATGAGTGTGATTATTTTTTAATCACAAACAGTATATCATTTAATTTTCTGTAGAAATTAAATTCTGAGAACTATTTTCATCAAATGTAACTATAAAAGTAATGTATACATCTAAAGATGCCCAATTTTAACATGTAATTCAGGATACTCACTCGTTCCCATGTAAGCTCTTCTGCAGCTCGGTCCCATTCCAGAGCATTCCAATTCATGTCATCTGGAGGTGTAATTGCACAATAAAGATTACTGATGGAAACTGAATTATAATAATAAAATGTACTCTTAATTAATAGACTGGTGAGAAGCTAGGCCATATTTAAAATTTTCCTACAATGAGTATTTGCTTGCTAGGCAATAAATCCTACAGATAAATACAAACCTAAAAATAAACAAAACATATAAAGTACAGTGATCCTACACTGTGGTGAGTGCTAGAAGAGAAAGATGTAAGGTTACGTGAAGAATTCAATAGCTCTGGGTCAGACATGAATCTGGTGGATCTGAGAAGACAGAAATCAGGGGACTAGAACGTTCTGGGTGATGAGGGACAGCGGAAGATAAAGTATGAAAGGCAGACAGGGATCCCATCATGTAAGGAACCTGGCCTTTGGCTTTCATTTTATTTTTAGTACAGTGGAAAAAGCACTGAAAAATGTAAAGGGAGGAGAGTAATGTGAACCGTATGGGGCAAGAATGGAAAGAGAACAACTGGTCGCAGCAAGACATGATGAGGACCTGACAAGAGGGCGGCAGCAGCCAGTGGTGCTCTGGGTCCTAAAAGCTTCCCTCCAGAGGCGATGGCTCCCACTACACCGCTTACTTCTTTGCACCCTCCAGGTCTCAGATCAAAAGCTACTCATGCAAGCTTCCCAGGAAGTCTAATTTAAAATTATGTCTCTCCTCAGAAGCATCTCCACAGTGAGCTGTGCAACACACCAGAATGGGTATTTCCTACTTCTTCCACAGCCCAGAAAGCCCACAGAGGCAGGGCCAGGTGTTTTGGCCACAGATACATAGGCAGCGTGTAACGGAGTCCTTGGCACGAGGGGACATGCAGACACCAGCTATGTCAATGGACCCTGAGACAACGCTGCTTTTCACAGGTAAACTGTGGTGGCAGAAGAGAGAAAAGGCATCGTGCTACTGAGGGCTGACTGGCAGATCCACCTTGGATCTTAGCTCATATTCTAGCATTTACACTGCTAGAAAAATGAAAAATTGGTTGCTTTAAGTGGCACCCCACCCACAGTATATATTTCAAGAATTCCTTTTCAGTACCAGGGATTGAACTCAGGACCTTGCACTTGGGAGGCAGGCACAGTGCCACTGAGCTACATCCCCAGCAGCTGTAAAAGTTGTACTAACTCAATGGAGACAGAAAGACAGAAGCAAGTGAGTAAGGTAAATCTGTATCAAACTCCCTAAAAAACAGGATCTATTCCAACTTAAATAATTTCCTCCTACCCATTCTACAAATGGAGCAAAGGAGGACTGTTAAGACACAAACTGTTCCTGCTTCATAGAAAAAAATGTACGCGTATGTATAGCCAGAAATGCCAGTTTGCTAAAATAAAGTAAAAATGGTACACAACTTTAAAACCCTAAAATTTGAGAACTCCAGTAGTCCTTTTCTCCTCAATGCAACTGCAAGCGGACTCAGGGACTGGAAAAAAATAGCCATTACCCTGGGCTCCATTATTAGCATCTGCTGCGTCTTCCACGCCCGCGTCATCTTCCTCCTCATTGTCTTCCTCTTCCTCCTCTGCCTGGTCATCCTGTGCATCCGGGTTTTCTCCAACCACTGCATTCTCAGCTGGTGGGTTGGCAGGCTGTTCAGCAGCAGCATTTTCTGCACCATTTCCTCCTGCTGGAGCCTAAAGTGAGAAGAGCTAAAAATTTAGCTAACTTGCCTCAGTTTTACACTGTTTCCAAATCACACTCTACTTGCTAGCAAAACAAAACTAGTAAACACAAACTCTACTAAGATGGTGCAATAAACTTCTTTCAGAGTCATCTTTCTTATCTTCAAAGTCATCTTTTTCACATGTATCTGATTTGAGATCAACTTGGTATGTAAGTGCCTAAGCTCCCTTTACAGTGCATTCATTCAGTTTCAAATAGGGATGAAGATTTCACAAAGCATTACAGAAAGTGGGTCTACAAATGTGGCTACCTTTAACACTGCATTTTGTAACTGTCTTCTTTACAAGACACCTCTTGTTTCTGTTCCCCCCTCCATATCAGGAATGGAGCTCAGGACCTGTGCTTGCCAGGCAGGTGCAGCACCACTGAGCTAAACCCCCAGCCCACCTCTTGTTTTCATTGACTAACTTATGATGGGATGAAAACATATTTTTGAAAAAATTATTTATACATATATAAAATGCATTCCTCTACTGTCATTTCAACACTTAAAATGGCTTCTTGCTTCTGCTTTATCAGTCCCCAAATGCACACTCCTCTGGCTCTACCTGAATTCTGCTACCTACCTAATGCAAAGACACAACTGTCATTGAGTTAAAACACAGAACCATGGATTTAATGAGGATTTTTTTTTTTTTTGGTACCAGGGATCAAGCTCAGGACCTTGTGCTTGTGAGGCAGGCAGTGGCACCACTGAGCTAAATCCCCAGCCCTTTAATGAGTATATTAATGTTTATAAATGAGACACAATGATAAAAGTATTAATCTTGGATGAGAATGGTGCCATTTTTTATAGCCTATTGTCTATGTATGCTTTTTAAAGAAGTTGAATTCTGTAGAGAAAAAGAAATCAGATTTTGATGAAATCAATCTGCATACTGAAAAAGGAGAAAGTCCTCAAAACAAAAATTAAATTATCATTACTTTTTTTGTTGTTCCTGTTTTGGGGGTTTTTTGGTTTTGTTTTTGGTACCAGGGATCGAACTCAGGTCCTTGCGCTTTTGAAGCAGGTGCTGGAACCACTGAGCTAAATCCCCAGCCAAAAAAATCAGGTTCTTTTTTTTTATATTTTTATTTTTTATTATCATTACTTTATGGCCAGTTTTCTCATAATAAAATTTTATAAAGTGCAAACAGTTTTCATTTTTCATTAAGTAACTAATTTGTGGCATTTTCAATACCGTAAGTTCTCAGGAGGCAAGATACCAAAAGTTATTTTACCTTCCTCCTCTTCTCAATGACTCTAGCAAATTCCCAGCATCTAAGCACAGCATCACAAAAAACAAAACCAAACAAAAACTACAAGACTGGTATCCAATTTTTCTACTTTTGTCATATTTCTACTTGATAGGAAAGACAAAATGATAAAGAAGTGGTATATCCTTCTTAAATGTTGAAAAGCATGTGAAAAACTTAACTAGGAAATTGTACATCTTCCAAGCTCATGTTTAGCAGTTCACCCAAGCAAAGAGAATGGAAGAGCATTTTGATATGCTCTCTAATACTGTTCCTGATCTAGCAAGAAATTAAGAGGCAAAGTCACAAAAGCACTCCTAGATTTTTCACATTTGTCTTAATCTTCTCCCAAAGCTTTGCACTATCCTCCTTTAAAATGGCAAAAGACCCAGCAATCAGGTTGGGCAGGAAGACTGCAAATTTGAGACCAGCCTTGGCATTTTACTTTGTTTGTTTTTTGGTACTGGGGATCGAACTCGGGACCTCGCACTTGCGTGGCAGGTGGCGCAACCACTGAGCTATATCCCCTGCCCTAAGCCTTGGCATTTTAGAGATCCTGTCTCAAAATTAAAAAAACAGTCTGGGGATGTGGGTCACTGCAAAGGCGCTAGGTTCAATTCCCACCACTGTAGGGGTTTAAAAAAAAGGGGACAAACGGCCAGGGATTTAGCTCAGTGGTTCCGGCACCTGCCTCGAAAGCGAAAGGTCCCAAGTTCGATCCCCAGTACCAAAAACAAAACAAAACAAAATGAAAAGGGACAAGAATATTTTCTAAGTATGTGTCAAGGGTTTAGACCTTAGAGGATGACAATAATTTTCACATCCTACCTAAGCAAATCAGATTTCAGAGCTAGCGGTGTTACCTCATTCTGGTGGTGCCCCGCAGCATTGAAGGGCGGTGCAACGTGGTCCAACCAGATCGGGGCTCCCCCATGGACTATCTGTTCTCGCAGCCACACCAGGCTGATGAACGCACACAGTGTGCATGTCACCACGAAACAGCCCTGCAAACAATCCGCCAACAAGTTTTCCCTGTTTAAACAAACAAAATACGGATAATGGCTCCAAGAACACTCGTAAAAATAGCCAGAAAAACAAATCATAATTTTGGGGAGAAAATCAGTTTCTCCATAAGAATGACTGTATTAAGTAAGCATAAAGTAACATCAGCACTACACGCAATTAACTATCCACAGCCTGTCCCTTAATACGGGCAAAGAGCAGGAAGGCAGCAAGTAAAAATGCAGTCAAACACTTGACAAAGACCAAGCAGCAAGTTTATAACATTTACTAAATTAAAGGTGAGTAACTCTCTGGTGCTTCCTAAGAATTTCCTTATCCTTCTTTACACATAAGTTTTTTAATGTACTCAGAAAAAGAAAAAAAAATGTACTCAGCTGGAACCTAAGTCCACACAAATCAAGAGAATCATCAAATCAGAAAAGAGTGAAGCTCCTCTGAACACAGGCCTATGACATTGTAAAGTAATAAAGGCTCAAAGATGTTCAATATGTATGTGTAAGACGAAATCTACAACATATTTTAGAGAACATTTTCACTTAGAAAGCAAAGAGTTTCGATGCTAACTGCAAATATAACCAAAGTATATTAGTTTCTTGATAAATCCAATAGAGGTAAAGTATGGTTCTTTTAGCAATCACACATGAAAATGCATGGGATGTTGTAATGTGGAAGAGCCCTTTGTTCTTTTCTTCCCGAAAGAAGATGTTTATCTTTCCCTGTACATGCTGGGATTTCAAAATAGATTAACTCAAAAATCTTCTTAGGTTTTGAAATACACTGGTTTTTTTGGTACCTGGGATTAAACTCGGGTCCTTGCGCTTGCGCAGCAGGTGGCAAAACCACTGAGCTAAATCCCCGGCCCTTGAAATACACTATTTTTTGTTTGTTTGTTTTTGTTTTTTGGTACCAGGGATCAAACTTGGGACCTTGCGCTTGCGTGGCAGGTGGCAGAATCACTGAGCTAAATCCCCGGCCCGAAATACACTATTTTTATGGAATGACTTTTCACTCCATGGAAAAGATGAGGAAGGGTCAACCTGGATGATCTCTGCCCAGCAGCTGTAACTTTGAACTGAACTGGTGTGGTCTCTGCATTAAAAGAGGAATCGTAACCACTCATTCCTAAGGAGCGTTCCAGACAACAAAATTTTGATGTGTTGGGATTAAAATAAGTCCTATTCTCCCTTGTCATTAGCAATAAGAAAAATTAGCTCAATTAGCTGCTTTTTGGACATCTTAAATGGTAACAAACTCCACAGTCCTTTTCTCTATGCCCTCAGCTGGGCTGGTTTTGCATACTGCCTGGATCAGACCTGATGTCAAGTTCCACAGCCTAGACAGACAGGGCTCGTGAGCTTCCCCCTCACCCTGAGGATGCTACCTGCGAGCACCATGGAAAGAGGGCTCCAATCAGCCTGGTGCGAGACGAGAGGCAGGGGAGAACGAAGGTACCTCAGTCAGGACCACTTGAATGACCGACTGGGCTCCACAAAGACACACATGAGTGACCAGGCAAGTTTAACAGATGAACAGCTCAGCCCAGCCTGGCCCAAACTTCAGAGCTCAAGAATTACAAGAAAATACAGTGGTGTTTGTGTGAAGCCACTAAGTTTCAGGCGGTTTGTTTTGTAAAAACAGATTAACACAGTATGCCTAGAGGTGACTCAAAGAACTGAGGTATAAAATGTATAGCAACTGTTAAGATATAAAGGAAATTCAAAAGTAAATTTTCAGAAAAAAAAGATGTATTCTATAAGGAAAATGAAACACTACTCAGGAAAAATAATTAATCCATGTTTTTTAATTTCTTTTGACCATCCCCACTAGGCCTCTAGCAGTCCTTTCCTGTCTAGGAGTAGCTAATGAAGGCGATTCAGGTGGCCCCTCAGCCAATCAGCTCAGAGGAAAGGGGAGGCAGACAACACAGGGCAAGCAACAATGCTTTAACATCAAAATGTAGTAAAACAACTACAGTGAGCAAGGTTTCAGCATGTGTATTCTTATAGCCTCAAAAAATATTTTCAAATTAATCTCAGCATATGAACCTAATAGTGCATACCTCAAACTTCATTATAGCCTATTTAACAAGTCATCCTGCCATTACAAAAAAGTTCCTTAAAACTTTATTTTAAAAGAAAAAAATACATATTATTAGCTACTTCTGCTATCCTACATGTAACTGTTAGGATAAGAAACATCAATTATTGTCCTTGGAACAAGACAAAGAATTTTCAAATACTAAACATGCGAAGCATCATTTCCACTGTCACTCAGATTCAATACTCACGTGGACAGCATGTCTAGTGGCAGTGTCAGTAGTGAGCTCACGGAGCCGGTAAACAAGCACTTGTAGATGCGGCCTATCAGAAAGGGCATGACACACAGTCACAACCAGCATTGTCAACTCAGTCCCTCAAGAAAGCAGCAGTAAAACCATGACGCTCATGGAAATCAGTGTTTTAAACCTGAGTCTCAGAACACTACATTTTTACATTGTCAAGCATAAAAACAGCAAAGAGAAATCCTGCACAACACTGTTTAGTGTTCATATTCTCTCTAGACTTGTTTGTATTGAATGCATACTCACTGTTTTTCTGTGTATATCTAAAGAATTTATGCAAATAAAACAAGCAACTTTTTTCTCATTTCTATCTTCCCCTCCCAATTTCTCCCAATATTTTCATCTGAAATTTTAGTTTCAGTCTATCATCTAAAATCTCTTAATTATTATTATAGGTTAACAATCATTGAGTTTAGTCGTAAAGCTGTGAATTTCTGTGAATGTCACACCTTTCTCTGATTCTCTGCTCATTTAGTAAAGTGTATTTTCAGTTTCATAAAAAGTTCATAAAGTAGTGAACTTTCTGAATTCTTATGACAAACCAAATGTCTGTATTTTGTTCTTTCATCTGGAGATAATTTTCAGGAGAGGAAGTAGTTTCAAAACTGCTGTCAAAATCGGACATAGTGGCACACACCCATAATTCTAGCTGTTAGGGAGGCTAAGGCAGGAAGATTATAAGTTCAAGGCCAGCCTGGACAACTTTGTGAGACCTGTTTCAAAATTTTAAAACAATATTTTTTGTTTTCTTTTTTGAAAGAAGATCTTGCCATGTAGCCCTTAAATTCAGGATCTTCCTGACAGCCTCCCAACTGCTGGAATTACAGGCATTTGCCACCACACCCACCTAAAATAAAAAATGTATCTTTTAAACAGGGCTGGGGATGTAGTTCAGTAGTACAGCACACTTGATTTTGATCCTCAATACTGTTTTGTTTTTTTACAGTCAAATCTGGAAGTCTCCCATGTCTTCAAACACTCAGCATTGCTGATCTGAAGTCTAAGGCAAATCTTTGTACTTTGTGGAACAGTTGGAAGAATACTGTTGCTATCTATAACTCAATCACCACCACCTCTCTACCTAGCTCTGGAAAAGTTGGAATTATGTTTAGATTTGTGAATCTTTTCCCCTTATTGTGATCAGCTTTCCCTTTCAACATAAAAGATACCATTTCCTCACCTGCATTCTCTCTCTTCCCTTAAAAAAAACCACTTACCACACAGTTACTGAAACAACTGGATCTAGGCTTCATCTCTCCATTTGGTTTTCTCATTCTTAGAACCACTTCTCCCTTTGAATGACATCCTATGTGAGCTCCTTAGTCCGGTCTTCTAGCTCATTAATTAACCCAACAATAACTATTCTGCTATTCAGTGTATTTCCCCAGATTTTCATTCTAGAAGTGATCAAGAAAACTTTACTTAAGGAGTTAGGAGAATATTAATTATATTTTTTAAATCTTTCTTGTTTTTAGCTCCAAGCAATCATATCCATATACTCGGAAACTATACACTATCTATTCCTCAAAATCTTTAAGAAAAACAAAAGAACAAAGGATCACCCAAGATGGCAGGTTAGTATATCAACTCCCAAAGATCCTCTGTATCTGAATGTTAAGCCTTCCAATTATTCAGAACCATTAGATCTGTATGTTTTTATCATCATAAAAAGAGATGGAAGTTCAAAGAAATCCCCAAAAAATCTCTCTGTTGGAGACTCTGAAAACTCTGATCTTAAGAAATAAAATCAGTTTCTTCTAATTATGGTTTGATTTTGCTTTCTTAATTCTTTCATGAACTTTCATTACTAGTCTCTGTGTGCTGTATTTTTCCTTTTCCACATTTGTTAAAAGAAGCATCTCACTCTTGGGATATGGCTCAGTGGGAGAGCACGTGCTTAATTAACATGCACAAGGCCCTGGGTTCAATCTCCATCACAAAGAAAATCCCAAAGTCATTCTTAGTTCAGAAGAATGTGAAGCTCTCCCAATATACAAGATGTGATCAAAATGTATGGTGAATCCTTAAAAAATTATTAAAGTAAAAGACACATTGGCATTAACCCTGCTTACATTACTTCCCGTTGTTCTGAACACACTTAATCCCATCATTCTTGCCACTTTCTGAAGCAGTTCTGGAAGTCCTCTTTCCTGAGTGTCTTTATGAGACGTGATCAAAACACAGTAAGTGCTGCTGCTATTACTCAACAGAAAGGCAGCTCATAAAAACATTACAATGCATCCTCCTCCACCTTAGTCTCCAGATCTGGCACTGTGCACCCTCTGGCTCTTCCCCAAAGTCAAATGTCCATGAAAGGTAAATGTTTTGCATCAGTTCAGGACACTGAGGCAGCCATGGCACTGCAACTAAAGACATGAGAGAGGACTCCAGAGCTGCTGCAGAAAGTGGCAAGAATGATGAGAAAGTGTGTTTGCAGCAAGGGAGAGGATTCTGAGGGAGATTAAGGGAAATGTAATTTTTACTGTAATAATTTTTAAAAATTTAAACATTCACCATATTTTTCAACCATACCTCCTATAACATTACAATAATAAATGAGGTAATATTTCTTGAAATAGTTATACAATATTTAAACAACTGCAAAAGAAACATGAATACTCACATGCTGTAAGAGGAACAACTCCCAACCATGCAAAGGCCACAAGCGTATAATGAAACCAGTATCGTATTGCAGTGCCAATACTTGTAACCAGTCCAGCAAATATGTCTTGGATTGGAAGCCGTGAAGGCATATCTGGGGAATAAACTAGAAACAAACAAAAAAATTTCATGAAGATTTGAAAATGGCTTAATTCATACTACAAAATAAACATGTACAGCCACCTTAACGTTCAATGTAAGTATTGTAATTGAGTATTTTTCCTGTAAAAAAAGAAGTAAATCAAATAGTTGTAACACATTTACCCAGAAGTCATTTACGAAGCAATCACATTTAAAATGTGAAGGAAAAAAAAGGCCTCTGAGTAAGAAAAAGTATTCAGAAGAATTTCACATCCTTTGCTTATAACCATGAACCTCATGGAAATCAGTGTCCATGTTTTAGCACTCAAACAATATAACAATCTGGTTTCCTAAGCTATTCAAGATCCGGTAAAGGAAGCAGCAGCAAAAAATGAAGCTGATGGCACATGACCAAGAAAGAACTCCCACACAGGAACTCTGGACGGTGCTCAAAGAGCACAGTGACCAGCAGCGGGACCACTCCAAGTGCCAGCTGCAGCCCGCTGTTGTCTGCCAGCCAGCCCTTCCCGCACCTGTAATACTGTACTTAAAATGCCCCCCACCCTAGCACCGTAATAGAGATCAAACTCAGGACCTTGTGCTTGCCAGGCAGGCTTCAGCTCTACTTCTCTGCAAAATGTGCTTCAACAAACTCAGAGAAAAGTTAAATTTTGCTACAGTTTAGAAAAACATCACTTTAAGATGGTTCTAATAAAAGCCACTGCTTATTTAAAAACTCCACTAAAGCTGAAACAGACAGAACTATAGGAGGAACATTTTTCCTATGAGGCCAGATAAGGAATTATGATACCTAAGGTTTCCAAATCAATCATCTATGATTTGTAAGAACATTGTCACAAAGCTGTTCACACATATATTATGGAATAAACAACAAATGGCAACTTCTTATAATACAGCCACTTAGATCAATGACTTCAGTAAGACATTCTGTATAAAAAGCAAATCTTTAAAACCAGTCATGAGCTTTTTGAGAAAAGGGAAACAGCATATGTACGTCAAATGAACACTAATGTGTATAAAATAAGTTTCTACTGGCCTCAAAGTAAAAGCCTACATTATTTCCTATCAATCAAATTTCATGAAGGGCTGAAGATGTTGCTCAGAGGTGCAGCACCTGCCTCGCAAGTGCTAGGTCCTGAGTTCAATCCCTGGTACCAGGAAAAAAAAAAAAAGAAAACTTTATGAAAACATTGAATGATTTAGTCCTAGTTTGTTATAAATTTTAAGCTGTACAGCTTTTATGCATTACAGAAAATCAAAAACTATAACAGATTTGACATTATTTTGATGGCAATGGATAAAGTTCTAAGAGTGAAAATGTACTAACTTTAATCATTTACACTTGTCAAAATACAAAGTAAAGGGTAGGGGATTTCGTTCTGTGGCACCGTGCCTGCCTCAAAAGTGTAATGTCCTGAGTTTACTCCCCAGTACCATAAAAAAAAAAAAGCAAAGTAAAACTAACAGTAACCTATAGCATTTATACTGAGCAGAACAAGAGGCTTTAAACAGAAAATAAATAAATGCTAGGCCTCGTGGTGCACACCTGTAACCCCAGCACCTGCGGAGGCGGAGGCAGGAAGATTCCAAGTTTGAGCCAAGCCTGAGGAAATTAAAAAATAAAAACGACTGGGGATGTAGTAGCTCAGTGAGAAGTTTCTGGGTTCAACCCCCAGTACAGCATTAAATAAACAAATAAATAAATAATAATAAGGCTGAGGATGTAGTTCAGCTCTAGACTTCCCACATATATGTTATGGTCCTGGGTTCAATGCCCAGTACTGCTTGCTTTAATTTAAAATTCTGTCTTTATTACTATTATTCTAATGTGTACAATTTAATCTCAAAAGACAGTCCAAATCTGAACAGTGCTTTAATAAAATCAAGGCAAGGCATTACTATTACTTTTTCTAGCAGATAATGGTATTACAGTCACTTTTTTTCAAAAAAAAACCCTTACGAGGTGGATGTGGTGGTGCACACCTATAATTCCAGCACTTGGGAGGCTGAGGCAGGAGGATCACTGCAAGTTTGGGGCTAGCCTGGGTTACACAGTGAGTTCAAGGCTAGCCTGAACTACACAGCGAGACTTTGCCTCAAAATACCAAAAAAGAACCCTCACATGCTGGATAATGTACACATGAAATTATATAGGCCAGGCATGATAGGTCACATCTGTTATCCCAGACTTCAAAGTTTGAGGCAGAAGGACTGCCACGAGTTTGAGGCCAGCCTCTGCTACATTAAGTTCAAGGCCAGCCTGAACCATATACTGAGACTTGTTTCCAAAAAAACAAAATAAAAAAAAGAAATTATAAATAAAATGATTTTTTAAAGGACAGACCAAGAAAAGGTGGGAGGGGGTGGAGAAGAATGAGAGCAAAGATAAAATGAGATAGGCCAGGGGTGAAAAACCAAGTGACACTGAGTGATGGGTACATCATGTGGACTTGCCTTGTACATCTGAACATGTCTATAATTAAAAGGGAAGAAAGAAATAGGGAGGAATTTATAAAACTTATATGTGTGTGTTAAAAAATAACAGTACTCAAAAATATTTTCCTAAATGGAAGAGCATTTTCTATTATTATCAAAGACAATAAAACTGAAAATTGCTTTAAAATCACTTAAACACCTTTTATTGCTGGTAATGACCAAAACACCATAATGAAAACGTGAAAAAACTTACTTGGTGTAAAAGCAAATCTGTGCTTGCATAATTCACAGTATTCTTTTCGACTGTGTTTCAGCCACTGAACTAAGCTGTAATCACAAACACATTCATAAACACAGTATTTACAGAGAGACAGTAAGCTTTCATTGAAAACTAATGTTCTGCTTTGATTAAAATCCGATGTATCACAGAGCTTTTACAATTTTTACTATTTCAAATTTAGAATATTCTGACCATTTCAAATTTGGAGCATTCTTAACTTTTTGTAACTGCCTTCTAAGAGTATAGAACTTACATCAGCTAAAGACACTATGTACTATATTTTTACTAAAAGCTTCAATCAGTCTAAATTATAATCTCTTCAGAGCTAAATGAGTATGAATGAATCCAAGTATCAACCTCCCAAGTTCTAATACTGGTCTGATAATATGGGTCCTGGAAACTCAGTCTGACGCCCAGCTCTCCACGAACTGGCCGGCTGTGTGGTGCAGGACAAGGTATTTATTCTGTCTATGCTTTAGCTTCCTTATGTGTGTAACACTCCACCTCAGTTTTCTTGCAAAACTAAATGAGTTAAGATGTATAAAAGCACTGAGAACAATACTGGCACAAAGTACTGTACTTCATAAGTGTGGGCTAATGTTATGCCACTCTAAACAGAAAAGCATAGCATGTCCCATGGACAGAATCATCACAATACCTCAAATCAACAGGCATGGCATTAGGAATTATGGTTAATGTATTTGCCTTATGCTTACAAATTCTCAAAGGAATTATGGGACAAGTTCGTCGAAATGATCATTCTTATTACACAGATGACAAACTGAAGCTCAGAATGGTACAATTTCTAACAGTATGACTCACCATTCCTGATGGATAAACTTAATACTGCCAGTACACACACAAGGGTGATAAAGAGGTTTCTCAGGCGTCCCTTCTGACCGACACACTCGACATATGTCTGTTACCGAGAGAGAAAAACTGAATTACTTTTGGTTATAACTTTTTTAAAAAACAGACCACAGGGCCGGGGATTTAGCTCAGTGGTTTTGCCACCTGCTGGGCAAGCGCAAGGACCCAAGTTCGATCCCCGGTACCAAAAAATCAGACCACCAAAAGCTAAAGTATTTTGTGTTACAGCAACAATATGTCCCTTGGAAAAACATTAAACAGCAGCAGAGAAACTGAAAATTGTGATTTAAATGATACTTAAGTATGTAACAAACGAAAAAGTTTCCTTTAAAATTAAGACAAGTTTTTCCTTAGACCAGAACTCTCTAAATAAAGCTGAAAATAACAAAACATTTCTATTTAAAACTATACTCTTCCATAAAGACTGAATAAAAAATGCAAAATCAGATCACCATTAGACTTTTACCAGTTTTGAACTCCTGTCCCAAGACTTGAACAGTTCAAAATCGTAAATGCAGTCCCCATAGTTTAAGCTCCACAAAAACAAAACAAAATTAAAAAACCAAAAAACTCACATCTGAGGATTTAACATGGCAGGGTGGGAGCACTGTACACACCACCTTCCTCACCTCAACCACAGGACGAAAGGCGGCCTTCTTCAATACATGGTGCTGGTGAAATGGGATAGCCACATGCAGAAGACTGAGTTTAGACCCATAAATGTCACCATGTGCTAAACTAAAATCAAAATGGACCAAAGATCTGAATACTAAAACTATTGAAGACATAGGCGTAGGCAAAAAGCCCAATGGTATAAGAAATAATACCAAGAATCCACAAGTGGGATCATGTGAAATTAAGAGGCTTCTACCCAACAGTACTGGAAAAAAAAAAAATCTATAGAATGGGAAAAAAATTTGCCAGCCACTCCTCAGAGGAATAACATCTATAATAAACAAAGAAGTAAAAAAAAAAAAAAATTAGATCCCCAAAATAAAAGACCAAATCAAAACATGGGCAACCAAAGTGAATAGACACTTTTCAGAAGTACAGATGGTCAATACATGAAAAAATGTTCAACATCAGAGAAATGGCCATCAGAGAAATGCAAATTAAAACAACAATGAGATTCTATCTTACTCCAGAAAGAATGGCTATCATCAATAAATCAAATAATAACAAATACTGCCAGCCCTGCAGGGAAAAAAGAAATGTCTACATCATTTGTAGGAATGTAAACTAGTACAACCACTATGGAGATCAGTAGGGAGAATGCTCAAAAAACTAAAAATAAAAATTCCATTTGACCCAGCTATTCCCCTCCTAGGAATCTTCCTGAAAGAATTAAAGTCCTCATATGACAGTGATCCATGCATTTCCATGTTTATAGCAGCACATAGCTAAATAGCTACATCTTGGAAATGGCCTATATGCCCATCAACAGATTGAATGAAGAAAATGTGGTATTTATACACAATGGAGTATTACTCTGCCATAAAGAAGGACAAACTCAAGGCATTTGTAGATAAACAGATGCACCTGGAGACCATAATATTAAGTGAAATAAATCAGACACACAAGTTTAAATATTGTGTGGTTTCTCTTTTATGAGTAACCCAAAATATTAATAAAGAGCACAATAAAGATAGATAATAGGAAGCAAGGAGATAATTTTCAAATCGAACAGGGAATTTTCAAATGGACAAGAGATAGGAGAGGGAAGGGAGGAAGGGAAAAAGAGATTTCAAAAAAATAATGAAGAAATGGATATAGAGCTTTTTCAAATGGGAAGAACAACAAAAGTTGGAGAGACCAGGAGGAACAGGAGGGGAAGGGGACAAAAAGAATTGAGATGTGTTATACACACGTACAAACTCCTCAAGATAAATGTAATCATTATGCTTCTTTTTTTTTCAGTTTCACTCTTTCCTAGAAGCTGCCAGTGGGTTATGGGCATAATGCCACAATTGGCATCACCACTGTTTATGGTTAGAACACACAGGACCTGAATGTCTTAAAACCTTCCACTTCCACCTTCACCCTGGATTAATTAGAACATAATTGGCTAAACTTTGCTTATAAAATCCACAATCCCAAGCCATATCCAGTATTCACAGAGTCCATGACTGCTTTAAATATTCCAGTTCTCTCCAAGTCCACGTTCAGGCGCAAGGAAACAAAGAATACTCGGTGCGGAGAGACAGAGGAGGGACCTCTCCCGAGGCGGACCTCCCCACGCTGGAGTTCCTAGTACAAGCGTTTCAGTACAGCACATTTAATGGACAGCATCAAAAGTAGAATTTCTATGGCTGCCAGCACCAGACTTGCCCCGCTCCTCCTTTAAAAGACATGAAGACCCCATTCCTAGTCCAAGAGATGCGGGAAGTGGTGAGGGAAAGGAGAAGGGAAGTTAAAAAAAAAAAAAAAAAAAAAACACGTGTCCAGGGATTTAGCTCAGTGGTTCCACCACCTGCCTCGAAAGCACAAGGTCCCAAGTTCGATCCCTG